CCCCCCCCCCCCCCCCCCCCCCGTTAGTAATACAATAAGCAATGGAATGAGGAACTAATAACAGTAAGCATGTTGTTTTTATTGTAAGTAGTAACACTTCCTTGTTTTTTATATGGTTGGATTATCATTGTGCAGTACTTTACTGACATTCTGTCCAGTATATCAATTCTTACTCAGTTCCTTCTTTAGTCATTTTTACCTGGTGACAAAACACATTTTCTCATGCACATACGTATTACAGCATTGCCTCATGAATCTTGGAATATCCCCGTCTGTGTTACTCTGGAGTGATGCAGTTTTGTTGCACATGCTTCAGTTACTTTCTTTATTCTTAAAAAATATTGTTTGGCCCAGATGGTGTTTGTAAGAGAGAACATGAATGACTGCAATTACCTGGCGTACCACCCAGAATGTGTGTTTTCTGGAATTTTCTTTGCGTCACAGCAACTAACTGCCATAATATTTGTGACCATGCACCTTTTGTCACTAAATAAAACTCATTGTTTCTTAAATACTGTATCATCAAATGTGGTTCTTAACATATTGGCTGTAATATTTTGTTTACTGTGAAACCCATGGTTTCAGTATTCCTGTAATGGATTTTAGTTTACTACACACACCTTGACAGAGACTTCAGCAAATTAATTCTTATTCTGAATGGGTGTTATACTCTGAGATTCTATATATGAAAAAATAAGCTATTGGGTTCTTATAATTAAAAAAATGGTTGTTTAATAGCACTTTTTAGTTTACATTGGTACGAGGTTTTTTCTTACTGTCCTGGGGCAACTGTAACCACATACATTATTAATCCCTGAGGAAATTATTTTGATTGATTGATTGATTAAAACACCACCAGTTACCACAGTGAAGAAAATCATTGGTATTGTGATGTTTCTTTGTTTCTAATTCAGAGAGATGGATACGTAGTTATGGGAAATGGATTGGCAGATATAAGGTTACTGTAATCTTAAATATATTTTACAATAAATATTTTTCATGGGAAATTTTTCTTTTTGCCTTCCCCAACTTGCTCTTTGTTGGTGAAAGTAAGCTGTCTGCCATGGGCAGGGAGTCAAGGGCCTTATTCAAAGACTTGTAGATATGACAAGACCAGACCCAAACCAGTGACGTTCTGATCATAGGTAGATAGGCTTAGCTCACAGAGCCAAACAATGGTATTACTATTATGGTAGCTAATTATTTCCTCATCTGCTATTATTTCTCACAGTCTGATGACACTGGAATTTGTAACAAACATCTAGTCCTTCATCAATGTGGGCATGATGCAGCAAAGCAGAATCAGTGTATATCCTGACATTGCTGGAAAATAACAGAAGGTATTCTCCTATGTCATGGGCTATTTCTCTGCTGGAAAATACTGGAATAACCGGTTCATCTCCTCCGACAAACACCGGCTGAGCAGTCCATCTTAACCTCATTTCTCACCTGAGGTGATTGCAGTTCGTGTGAGCAGCCATGGGGAACGCAGGGAGAAAATCGCTGAGTAACCTTTGGACTTCACGTAAGAAAAATGGGACCCTCGTGTCATCATACCGTTACGTCCCACCAACAATGGAAGACTGGAAGCTACAGAAAGGTGATCTGCTGGAAGTGATCGGAGAGACCGAGCAGTGGTTCTATGTCAGGAAGCTGTCTCTGAGGAGCAGTAAGAGCAGGCGTCACAGAGAGAAAAGAGGCTATATTCCTGTGGAGTTCATGAAGCGGGTGACCAATTTGGAGGCTCAGCCGTAAGTGTTTGAATCTTGCTCGTTGGAACATGAAGAGTGTTTTAAAGAGAAAAACAAGGTTCATGCAGGGTTGCCAACTTTGGTCAGCTAGAGTGAGATTTTCAATCTGAGACAAGTCTGCTTATGCCTTTACATGTATTGAAGAGTTTCATTACCTTGCAAATAATCTGTATGTTTTGCAAAATGCCCCAACCCTTTCGATGTAGCCAGCGTTGCCAACTCTCACGCTTTCAGACTCTCACATTCATGCAAGAAATCTTACGGCAAATCAGTATTATTCCAATATAAACCTAAAATTAGCTACATCAAAAGCGTTGCCAGTTTGCAAACCTGCAGACTATTTACAAGTTAGTATATGTGTGCATGTGCCAAGTCGGCAACCCTGTGTTCTGCCATAAGATTTCTTGCATGAGCATTACAGTATGAGAGTACTGTATGTCATGACAGATGCGTGAGAGTTGGCAGCCCTGTTCAAGTCCTATTTGCCATTCAGCTAAGTCTTTAGTACTATCCAAGAACTTTTATAGTGTGCATCGATGTATGTTTTAGTGCTATTTGAAAAAAACTTGAAGGTATAAGCCTATGTTTAAAAAACGGGGCGAATTTAATAGCCAAAATAAGGCTACTATTGAATCTGATCCCAATTTACGACAATAAAAAGCAATGGTCATTCGAAATAAGAAGTTTAACTCATTTTTAAATTAGTTTTGAAATGAAATTTAAAATTTCAAAAAAAAAATTTAAATATATTTTTTGTGAAATTTATGAATTATCATACTGGCATCCTCTTTCTCGAGTGCTTCCTATCGTATGATCTGACTGCGCCCTGCAGCAATAAACTGGAAGCATAAATGACCAAACTGTCCCACAAAGTCATTTCCTCAGTTTTCTGGTCCAGCACAACCCTAATAATGACATACATTTTTTTTTGCTTGTGAATGGAATTAAATGTGCAGGTGCATGCATGTGTTCTGTTTACTCATACAGATGGTACTTTGGAAATGTTACCAAACGCCTGCGAGCCAAACGACATCTGCTAAAAAAGGAGAACAGTGAAGGAGCCTTTCTCGTGTGGAAGTGTGCCAAGGAAAATCAGTATTATTTATCAGGTATGAAATTATTGTTACTCCCCTTGCTTCAATTACATCTGAAAAAAAAATGTTTCTGCTTTGATCTTGGTGTCTGTGGTAAATTGGATATGATGTGTCACTGTGATGCTAAATGTAGACATTTGTCAGATGCTTACAGCAGTGTTTTAAGCATGATAATAAAAACTGCCAGTTCACCCTTGTTATTCATTACTGGCAGATTATGAGAGGTGCCCGTATGCAAGAGAAAATATATTCTATGAAGAGAGTAAAAGAGGCGCTGATACTTAAAGCACTGGACCTAAGTAATCATAATTTAAATGGAGTAAATTTGATTTCATACATTAGGATTCCACAAAACAGTTTTAAATTCTTAGTAGAATTATGTCCTCTGTAGAAGAGGTTCTCATTTGGCTTAGGATCTATATTTCTTGGTCATTTAGTTACAATCCAGAGTAAATGTTGTTGACACACACCCCACGATCTACCCGGCATAGTAACATTTATGACCATTATTTTAGCATGAAGACTTAATTAATAATATCAACAAAGATAATTTAATAGACACAATTCCTTTATTTTCACTTTACTGAGAAAAACAGAATACACAATTAAAGCAGATTTGTCGTTGCATTGTGCTACGTAATCGGGTCAGCTCGGGGGGGCCCAGGCAATTGCCTGCCTTGCCTGTCCTGTCCCTACATCTCTGCCTCTGTAGTGGGGGGAGCCATTTATGTTGTTTAAAAATAATTACAGTTGTGATTTTACAGTATACTTGAAGATTCATTAACAGCGTGCTACTAAAATAATAACTTTGACTTCTCTTTGCAGTAAGATGTGGCGGAAATGTGAAGCACTACAAAATTAAAGAAGTCAGTGGATCATTCTTCCTCGTGTCAAGCAAGACATTTCCGACCATCTGTGCATTGGTTGAATCGTACTCCAGGGACCCAGGCGTACTTTGTCAAAAGCTTAAGAAGCCTTGCCTGAAAGTAAGTGCGATATCGCCTGATAGTGCTCTGCTGACCATCGCATCTTAAGACTGATTCGTATATATATAAAAGTTGAGCTCATCCACTCCATATGCTATATGCCGTAATTGCATGTTATCATTTGTAATTTGCAGTATAAATCAGATGTGTTTATGGTCAATGCTAAGGTGCTGTTACCCATTAGGTAAAGAAGCAGCCTTCTTCAGTGGGGCGTAAAGATAAGGACTGGGAGGTGGACAGAGGATCTTTTGTGAAAGTGGAAAAACTTGGCAGTGGGGAGTTTGGAGAAGTGTGGCAAGGTGTCTTGAATGACACAGTGGAGGTGGCTATAAAGGAGTTCAAAGGTAGGATGAAAACCATCTCCAACCTTCGCTTGTTGAATGCGACTTTGTGTCCAGTTCCCGTTCATGTGCCAGAGATATGCCCTAAAGGCCTTCTCTGTTATTCTCTTGCGTCATTTCCTAGCAAAGAACCCAGATATCCTGAACGAGATTGAAATCATGAAGCAGTTGCACCATGAACGGCTCCTCAAGCTCTATGCTGTCTGCACCAGGGACGAGCCGGTCTGCTTAATCACTGAGTTCATGAAGAATGGCACCCTGCACCGATACCTCAGAGGTATTTATAAACATTTTATAGCCGGTTCTCCAAATATGAGTCACAATGTTAACACCTTAAACATTTTTAAACTATTACCTGAGCTAATTTGTTCAAACATGCTTAGTACTATATATTATATTATACAGTGGTACCTCAGAACTCGAACTTAATCCGTTCAGAACTCCGGATCGAATCCTAAAAAGTTTGAGTTCTGATCGAATTTTCCCCATAAGAAATAATGGAAAACCAATTAATTGGTTCCTGGCCCCAAAAAATTACACTGAAATATGTTTTTTTTTTAGCATTTAAACACAAAATGAACTGGACAAAACAAGAAAAGCATACACTGTACTAAACACATCTAAGCACATTTATCAAAACAGTAGTTTTAAAGTAAGAAAATAAATGTATCCAAACAATGTGTCCTGTCCCGATCGTCCGTGCCTTCCGTGTGTCACGCCCCCTCGTTAACCCCGTGTGTAATCCCCGTGTAATTAGCTGTTTCTGGTTGTTGTCATGAGTCCTCTGTATTTCGTCCGCGTTTCAGTTTGTTTCCCCAGTCCGGTCATTGTACTGTCCGTCTGCGTTTTGCCTGCCTTACCTGTAATTAAACCCCATATTCCCAGATACCCAGACGCCTGCGCCTTTGTCTCCGTTCCGTCCCGCTGGGCATGACAATATAGGCCTAATTATAATTAAATGTATTAATGATTTATTATTAATATTAAAATAATTAATAAGAAATCTTTTTTTAAATGTATTTTATTATATAATAATAATTACTGTTACTGTCTATCATTGTCTAAATGTATTTTTACTGTCTAAATACATGTATTCAACTAGTGTAAACATGCACAATGCTATCACAGCGAATGCGAGGCTGAGACTGAAGCGTTACCCTTCGTTTCCGCTGAGAGACGTGCCGTGTGACTCATTTCCCCGCCCGTACAAGTTATCTTAGGTCGGCCTTCATGGTTTGACTTCTGAGATTCAGATCGAAGTTTGAGTTCTAATGAGTTCAAGAACTGAGGTACCACTGTATTTCTTTGTTACTTTCAGAGCATAACGAAATGAAAGACATAGAATTCCCCAGAATGGTGAACTTTGCTATTCAGGTATGGCACACCTTCGTACCATAATACTATACAACTGACCCTTATTATTTACATTTATGAATCGTATACAGTAATTTGCAATTCCACAAAAAATAGGTGTGAAAGCTTATGCAAAAAGCTCTGTATGTATGTAGATAACTGTGCTAATCTTCAAGGAATATGCTGCTTAAACAAGTTTAAAAGCATGCAGAATAAGAAGTAATGATCTTTAATATTTCTGGAACATTCGTACTTATTGTTTTTATTGGTTGACAGATTGCAGAAGGAATGGCTTTTCTAGAGGCTAAGAAAATTGTGCATCGAGACTTACGGGCAGAAAACGTCCTGCTGGATGATTCTGGGTGCTGTAAAATTGGAGATTTTGGCCTGGCACAGAGCACAAGTTCAGGAGAACAGGAAATTTTAATGAGTAAGTGTTATGGGCAGAGCATTATTTTACTACAATACCAAAAAGCTCTGAAATAATTTTTACTTAATGTGTATCAGCAAATTATGTTAGCTTGTTCTATTTTTAGAATGCAAAAAATAACATGAAAAGAACAGACATTTTCTTTGAATTTGTGCTTCAGGTACAAAGCTTCCTGTGAAATGGATGGCCCCAGAAATTTTTAGAGGAAGCAAATACACAGTAAAGTGCGACGTGTGGTCATTTGGGATCCTATTACATGAAATTGTCAGCTTTGGAGAGGAGCCATACTTAGGTATTTTAAAGAGAGTTTTACAAAATATACATATGGATGTTTGTATATTATTACATTCATGACAAAGGTTACATGTTAATAAGTTAAGCTTTATCCATCACCTTTTTTCCCATTTTTGTCAAGCAGATCAAAATAAGGCATTTTGTGTGAAGGCAGTACAGAAAGGATACCGAATGCCCAAAACACCCAACTGCTCCCAGTTCCTATATGATGTAATGCTTCTTTGCTGGAGGTCGAACAGTGTGGAACGGCCAGGATTCGTCGAGCTACAGGACAAGCTAAAGGCTGCAGTTCAAGAACCTGTATTGGAGGAAAAAGAGAGAAATACAGAAGAGAAGGACTGCACAACTTCACTGTGAAGGCCGAGAATCTGATAAAGATTTTGACAGGTGTGGAACTTAAGAATTTTCCAACTAGGCTACTTCAGTTAAATATGTAGTCCGACAGGCCATGTTTTTAATAGCCAGCGAAAAAAATTTTTATACTATTTTTGTCTAACTTACTTGCTTCAAGTAAGTAGGCGACCTTAATTTCCAGCCCTGTGTGTTATCACTTTCATGCATTCTCTTGAATTTTTATAAATATAGGTGAAAAGGGACACAATAGTTGGGATTAGGGCGAGCCCTGTATTTAGATCCCAAATTATATGTGCAACTTTGCATGAAATAGAAGGACTTTTGTCATTTTTGTATATGTACAAATGTAAATTGTTGTGCTTAAGACTCTCTATGGTATGTTTCCTAAGAAAGTTTTTTTTATACAAGCTAAACCTACCAAACATGTAGTACACTAATGTAATTTCCTGATCTTTGGGACAGATTACTGAAAGGATACAATTGTACGCAACATCTGATTATAAATGTTGTTTATGGAGAGAATTATTTTTAAATTCTTTTCTTCCTTGTTAGCTGTGCCAAAGGCTGCATGGCACCTTAACTGGTAGAGACTGAGCCTAGAGGAGGAATTTCCATCTTGTTCCCTGTAACTAATAAGTGGAACTAAAAAGCTGTGATTTTTAAAGTTTATTTTATTTTATTATTTTTGTGAAGTAGCGACCTTCATGCGTTTTTGTACTGCGGTTGTTTACTTACAATTGCATAAAATCTCATATCCCACATGAACTCGTAAGGACCATAAAACAAAAGAAGTCTGAGCCACATTTTTGGTTGTCAGTTTAATGTATCATCAGCCATGTGTTATAGCCGTGGACAGCATGGTGTCACCTCAGTCCTCTCAGGTTGGGAGCTTGAATCCCACGCCTGTTCTGTATGTGTCTGTGTGGAGTTTCTCTTGGTGTGGGGTGGGATTTCTTCAGATGCTCCATCAGTCCAGCACTATGTGGTTATACAGTAGGTAAATTGGCGTTTCTGAATCGGTTCTGAATGTGTGCATAGCGTGTGCACCTTCACAGACTAACATCCTCCTCATGGGGTCCCCTGTGTTGCCTGGGATAGACTCCAGGCTCTCTGATACCCACTGTCAGGGATAGATGTGTGATGGATACGTTCATTTGTCATACGAACTTTGCATTTGGACCTTTGTTATAGGAACTACAGTATAATTATTCCAAGACAGTGGTTCAAAGAGTCTTTATACCTCCACTTCAGTAATTATTAGGTTCTTCACACAGCATGTGACTCAGTGGGCTGAGCCTCTGTACTTCTAACCAGAAGGTTGTTGGTTCAAGCCCTGCCTCAGCAGAATAGTCACGTCTGTGGGCCCTTGAGCAAAGCCCTTGATCTCCAGCTCTGTTGGTGTCCCTGCCAAGCTGGCTCTCACCTGCATAAGCATCCGTGCATCATGGAGACCAAGATGGGGTAGGCGAAAAGGAAATCTCCCTACTGGGATCAATAAAGTATCATCATTTCATATCAGTAATGAAGTGGGTGTTGCCTGCTTGGGGGAGGGTGTTGGTGATGACAGAATTTGCCGACCGTGGGGGCAAGCTGACGTTTATATACATTGATACCTTTGTATCGTACTAGAGGGGACCCTGCATACCACTGGTACCATAGTTTGAGAATCACTGTATTAAGATATACAAACTACATTACACCCATATAAAAAGTCATATTGTGCAATATAATGTATTATGGTGATTTATAAATCCTGTATGTTATTCATGCATCCCTGCATAACTTGCGTAACCTGTTTTCTTCCAGTAACTTCCTGTGAATTGTATTTTGCTTACATATTAAAAAGCTTTTTCATGAGTATATATATACTCACCCATACAACCTGGATGTTACACAAGTTTTCATGGAACATTGAAACAAGAAATCTGCCAAAGGAGCCCAGTATCGTGTGTCATATTCACTAACAAAGGGTTGTGGTGTCTTGCTCAGCAGGTTAGACCTCTGTACCTGATAGCAGAAGGATGCTGGTTTTGGCCTCGGTTGAATACTCACATCTCTGTTACCCNGGAGCAGGGAGCCTTCGTGCTGGCTGACAACCTGCTGAAGACTGACGTGGTGCAGGAGAACACCGAGAATATCCGTGAGTGCCGCAGGGCCTGGGGACGCTCCGCTGGGTTATCTCTCTCTCTCTCTCTCTCTCTCACACACACACACACACACTCACAGGTGTATATACTGTATGTGTGTGTATATCTCAAAGAGGTGAAGAAGGGATATGAGTAACAAACCATTCCGATGTACTTGCGCAAATGGGAAATAAAGTTTCAGTTAAGCTACAGCATGCAAAACTATTCTTTCTCCAAATTTGGAAAGACATCTTGTCCTGCCATAAAGTGCCATAATGTAGGGAGACGAGAGGAGAGCATTCACTTGTGCATGGGTATGCATATGCTGGTTCTATCACTTGTACGCTGAAAACTTACACCGAAGGAAAGGAATCCTTAGAGACCTCTGCTTCGGCCTTGTTAGATGCAACACAAGCAGGCTTGGAAACTGGTCAGACCAAAGGCCAAAGAGATCAAGTGTAACATAAACGAGTCGTTTTAAATTCACACTAATGTACCTTTTATTACATCTTATCCACATGATACTGTACTGAAGGCAGAATTAAACTGTAAAACATTTAAATTTAAATTTTTTATTACTGTATGGGTCGTCGTCGACTTACGAGCTATGCGGCTTACAACTGATTGACTTTATGAGCTCCGAGGCCGCAAATATGTGGCCGCGTCTGCAAGCGTGAGTGTTGGGCAGCATGTGTGTGTGTCTCAGTTTCCGCTCCAACTGCCAGCAGCGATGAACTAAGAAAATGGCAATAAAAAGGTAAAAAAAAACACCAACAACATGACTTACAGATGATATAATTTTATTATACAGTATACTATACATATAATAATTTATGTATATGAAATAAAGGCCCGACCAAATCGACTTATGACCAGTCAGTCGTAACCGGTCGCAGTTGTAATACCTAATAATGCATTTTTTTTCGCTTCAGTTTCAAAACTATATTTTCCTCTGAAAAAACATCAGAAGAATCAGAACAAAACAATAATAATATTTGATTAAAACACAAACTATATATATATATAAATATATAAAAAATATATATAGCTAGGATCGTAAGACATCTGGGGCTTAACCTAAGTTCGGAAACTGCGAGTGTGGTTGTTAGAACATCTTAGCTAAACAAATCACTGGTTCAGATTAATTCAGGGCATCAGCCTCGTGACACCTAAGATTATGGCTCAAACTCATATTGTCTCTCTGTTGCAATGAAGAAGTCTTCCAGAGTATCCTGTAGGTATTCGAATGTGGGTCTCTCCTCTGAGGTGTTTCTCCAGCATAGTAACATGATCTCATACAGCTCCACGGGACACTTATCTGGACAAGGCATTCGGTAGTTTCTGCTCAAGTTCCTCACAACCTCTGGGTTTGTCATGCCTACAGAAAACAGAATACCCAGCTAGCTTTGCACCTCAAGCAGCTGGGTAAGATGGTATACACACTGCAGACAGGACACTGAGAGGATTACCTGGATATGGTACTCTGCCATATGTTACAATTTCTGTGAGGAGAATGCCGAAAGACCAGACGTCTGATTTGATGCTGAATGTGCCATAGTTGATCGCTTCGGGCGCCGTCCATTTGATGGGAAATTTTGCCCCTAGGTGAAACAATTATGAAAGAGATGAGGAATGAATTAATGTCAGTAATGCAGCAGACCAGGAAGTTCACCTTAATAGCAGTTTGCATTCATGCACTGAAGTGTATCTGACTAAATGAGCCTAATTGCGTGATATACCTTCTTGCGCCGTATACTCATTGTCGATGATTCTAGCAAGACCAAAGTCTGCTATCTTACAGTGCAGTGTTTCAGAGACCAGAACGTTTGCTGCCCGGAGATCCCTGTGGATGTAGTTGTTTACTTCAATGTAAGCCATGCCTTCAGCAATCTGCAGGGTACAAGTTCATAAAATACCAGAAATCACTCCTTAACCTCACTTAATTATTTGTGTTTATAAAGTTGGTGCGAATGTCATTGTTGTGTTAGTTTTTGGAAGATGTAATGACAGCATTTTCATTAATCATTATCATAAACTACCTCTGGCCAGTATATTATATCTTAGGGAGAACTAAGTAATGTAGCATCATCTCTGACGTTGACAGAATTGTTACTGTCTGAGGAAATCAAACGTCTTTCAACATACAGGCATGAAGAGTGGAATTATTTACATCACTTCCTGTCCCGATGGTTACAAGTGATAAATAGGGATGCTTGAGAACCTAAGTATAGCTAACCGCAAAGTTTTACTGCTTTGAAAGTTTAAACGTGTCAAAGTGTATTAGTCTCCAGCAGAGGCCCAACACGACCTCAAGAGAAACTAAACATGCTGGATTAATCTAAAGTATAAATGAAGGTGCTTATTTCTATATATGAGATGCTGCATATATTTACATTTAAAAAAAATATTTTAAATGAATAGATAGATAGATCGATGATAGATAGATAGATAGATAGATAGATAGATAGATAGATAGATAGATAGATAGATAGATAGATTGATTGATAGATAGATTAAGCCAATTAAATGTAAGATAGATTACTGTTCACACCTGTGCAGACATGTCTATCAGTGTGGAGAGTCCAAGCTGATTTCCCTCATCCGTTTTTAAAAAGTCAAGTAAGCTTCCTTGAGCCAGAAAGACAAAGGGAGACAGCAATTCAGAATTATATTCTAACAAGGAAAGCAAAATTGCAGAGCTGCAGAGGAAATAAGTAAACACTTTTCCCCAATGTTAGCTGTAGGGGCCAAAAAAGTCATCAATCTTTCCTACACAGCATTACAAAACGTTCTTTTCCACAACACAAAAGTTGTACGTTGTTTTGGATCAAACATAGCTTTGTTAACTGATTTGAACATTTAAACTATGTGTAGCACTTAAACAAAATCACCAAAAACACCAGCACATATAGTATTTGCACTTTCTCTGTAGCCTTGAAAACTGCGATATGATAATGGTAAGATAAGCTATGTTTTTAGTTACTAGCTCAGCTCCAGGCACAGAAGGAAGCTCACCTTTCTCCATATACTCCGTCACAATGAGGATGGGTATCTTGGTGACGACGGCATAAAGACGCACCAGCTTGTCATGCTGCAGCTGCTTCATCAGGTTGGCTTCCTGCAGAAAAGCTTCAGGCTCCATACTGCCGTCCTTGAGAGTTTTAATGGCCACTTTCTGCTTGTTCTTATAGAACCCTAAGTGAGGAGCAATTTTTTTTTACCTCGCTATTAAGCATGTTTTTTTTTTAAGCTTTGCAGTGCATATATTTATATGTTAAACAATTTAAATCCAGTTACTGTTGGGTATCTGTCCTGAATAAACAAACTACTAATTCAACAACTAATTCAACTTAGCATTTAACTAATTCAACTTTAGCATTTTTGCATATAGTAATTTATTGTTTACAGTGACATCTAGGGATTGAGTGCAGCTACTGCAATATTCAAATCTAAATCTAGAGTGTCTTCCTTCATTACTCAAAGTCAAACTCTAGTCAAGGTTTCCGGAATGTACCAAAACCCACCCATCCCCCATTACTTCTCACTGCTAATTATGCTAACTAAAAGTATGACGAATGTAGCTGTGCGATCAGTCGTAGCGGCATTGAAGGAGAGCATGATCTGAGCGCCATGGAACAACCTCCGGATCAAAAACCTACGAATTAACACGTCAGATTTTTAACACATATTTTTTCCGACATGCTAACATGTTCATTTTCTGTGTCTTAAGACGTACAAATTTGACGGGTTGATTCAGAGGGTCTGACGCCCAAGGCATTCCATAGAGGCCGAGTCTCCTGTACCGTGGTCCAGGACCATGTCACTCAACGACCCAGGATTCCTAGCTTGGTGTCAGAATCACTACGGTAATATATCGGTTGTTGATTAGATTTCCGATATCACTCCTTACCCATCCAGACTTCTCCGAACTGTCCAGCGCCCAGTTTCTTCACCATCTTCAGCGTTTCACGGGGAATCTCCCAGTTGTCTTGTCCCCAAGGGCATTGGGGCATGATGGATTTACATGGCATGGTCAGCTGCTGACAAAGGCCACCTGTTGTTTCTGGTAGTTTTGCAGAGAAATGTAATTCAGATGAAACATATTGTCATGATATAATATATAATGACACAGTATTAATAGGAGACAATGGGGACATTTTTCCTCCGAGAAATAGATAGATAGATAGATAGATAGATAGATAGATAGATAACATATTTTTCGTACATTTACTTCTTTAATTATTCTACATTGCCCATCAGCCCAGTGAACAGTTTGACATACAAACATCATTCGGCTTACTGGAATAATACTTCACTAGCTCCGACAATGATGGAAAGGTGATTTTTGGAGAGATGTAGAATCCTCCATTGTCAAGTGAACGTATTTTGTAGTGTTTGACCACATGTCCTTGTCCGGGCAAAATATCTTTGATGGAGAGAGAGAAGGCTCCTGGGGAGGGAAAACTCTTTGCAGTTGATATACACTTTTTAAGAAATATATGTTAGTGGTTTAATCAACACAGCCAATTTTAAGTTTCATTATTTTCAGTACAAGGTTATAGTTTCAAAAAAGTGTGAGAAAGGTGCTATATAAATGGAACTTTTTATTACTACAGTTAACAAAGCAGCTAATATTAGTCTTCAATCTATACATCTACACAAACACTTTCATGTACATTAGTACTGATGCCCAAAACACACACACACACACACACACACACACACAGACAAATTTTGTGGGGACTCCATAAGTACCCAAACTAAATATGAAACGTTTTGGCATTTTTTAGTTTTTGTGATCACATTGCTGTAACCGTGGTTCTGCTGGCAGAAGTCTACACTGAGCAGCAGGTTGCTTTCAGGTTCAAAATTAATACCACAGCAGTACAGATGAACAACGTGAAGCAGGAGACACTGGGAACAACCAGAAACCAGCAAGGTAAAGGGCAGAAGCGACTTTCTAATGCTAGAGATGGCCGTTAACTTATCTGACAGTTCCTCATGAATCGTAGGATTACATCAAGTGACCTTCAAAAGGAATGAGAAACTTTAAGTGCAAGTGTGAAGTGCACTGATAGGACAGTTCGTATCAGGTTCCTAGAAGCAGGACTGAAGTCCCATAAAGCAAGGAAAATACCCTTCATCAATTCACCTAACCGTATGTTTTTGGACTGTGGGCTGGAAACCTTTACAAACACAGGGAGAACAAACTCTACTGCACAGACATGCGCAGATAGATATCTATATCTTTGTGCGGACTCTCCGTTCATTTACAGTATATGGGCATAGCCCTAATCCCAAAAATGACAACCTTAACCCCTACCCAGCCCAAACCGTAACCAAAAAGTAACCAAACAAAATTCATGAGTTTTGGCATTTTTCGTTTTTTGATTGCAGTCACAAATGTTTTGTAAAATTGCTGTTATCTTTGTGGGAACAGAAAAAATGTCCCCACAAGGTAATGTTGCAAAAATGTTTATCATTGTAGGGAAATCTGGTCGCCACAATGTAATAATTACAGACAGACAGACACACACAGAGTCGGGCCTAGAATTTCATCCCCTAGCCACTAACATACATTTCTTGGCTGGATCACTTCTTGGCTAAATTCAAAGATCACATTTTGTTATTTGCTCTGCATATAAGGTTTCATGCAGTGTGGAGATTAGTATATCGTTATGATACATACATCATTGAGCCCGATAGAGATTATGTTTGTTTGATTAACATAACAAATCGTTCTTGCTTTACATGGGCTAAACATGTTCTTCCTAATTATGACCATAGGAATTTGTTGTTTTTATTAGACTGTAGTGGTATTATGGCTCAGATGTAGTATAGTCAAAGCTGCAGACTAGATTATTATCACAAGTCATGCGACAACAACAAAAAGTCATACACACCTTTATTTGTCTCGCTTTCTCGGATCAAAAAGGCTCCGACTTTGTTTCCTGGGGCCAACAGCAAACGCTCTGTTTCTTTACGGCTCAAGTTTTTGAAGAACCACCTGTGGAATATGAATGCGAATCGCTAAGATATCGGGGCTTCTCTGCCATCGTGCAACGTGGCGCTCCCTTCTCACCTTTCTATTTCCAGAGACTCCAGTTTAGCCACATGAGTCCTGGGAATGTATCCTTCTTCACCAGTGACCAAAGATTTAGCCAACCACCAATCTCCTTTCCTGTAAAGAAATGATAATGATTTTGACACTGAAAAAAAACTATTAATGCCTGAAACAGGCAATGGGTGTATATTTATGATTTCTCTCTCTCTCTCTCTCTATATATATATATATATATATATATATATATATATGTATATATATATAGTACAATAGACTTGTTATGTTACATTTCTAATGTATTGGTAAATGTCTAGATTTATTAAATAAAGGGTATTCATAGAAACAAAAATCACAAGAAGCTACATGTCAGGCCCTCACTATCACGTTGGATTCCTGATTGAATAAATGTTTGTATCTACCACTCATGATAATTTTGCATTTTGTCCAGAATTTGACAGCCTTTTTCATCATCTTAAATTAACACCAAAATTTCTTGCTATTGCATCATGACATTAAAGGTTTATTATTATTGTGTTTTTAATGTATTTATGTATATTTATTTATTTGTTTGTTTGTCAGTTAAATGGCTAAAAGATGAGATGAGTGATGGATAGATGAGTCTGCAGTTTATACATACTGTATTTCAATCTTGTATTTCATTCTCAATGAATTTCAGTCATGATTTGGCGTGATTACGCCATGACCATTAACTTCATTAAGTTTCTTGACGAATGCACATTCAAGCAGAATGTCTAAACTTAATGAATTCTTTTTAATCAACGCTATGATCTGCTACAGGAAGTTTACCAACTGCTGTGTTGTTTTTTAACCTGCCATACCTTCTAACCATAGTTGACTCATCATCGTAATGAAATTCATACTTACTCGTGTATAATCTTTAGTTTGTCTCCTTTTTTAAATGCCAGATCATGGTCATTCATTGGATTAAAGTCAAACTGAGCAATAGCAACATCTCTATCTGAAGAAAAAAAACATACAAAGATACATATTAGCATTGTTTCAAAAACTTTACAGGAATTATTAATGTGAGAATGTGTTTTTCGTGATGCGTTTCGCGTCTGTTGATATTGTGGCTAGTGATGGTGAATGCCTTCCTAAACCTGCACATTTTCAACTTTAACAGATTGTTGCATTGTTTGTTTTTGAGAGAAAAGTTGTGTCACTTGAATTGTAATTACCAGGATTTGGAGGTCCCAATGTGTTGGCTTCAAGATCCTGAAAACAATGACAGACCATATACAAAATAGATCATTTAAATAACTGATTTTTATTAATCTGGAAGTAAATTGTAGTCCATTACCCTTAACTACCATTAGAGTTCAATAAAGAAAAAATAAAAATAAAAAAATCTTAAAAATATGCAATATATTCTGATTATAATCTGTATTTCCACCAAATGAACTCTGTTTATAAATTCGTACAATGGGAAATTGCACCTTTAGTCCTGAAATAGTCTTGCGATTTGGTTAGACTGGAAAACACTCACTGTGTCTGATCCAGGAGATAAGGAGTTGGTCTGCAGTCCATTTTCTCTGAAGGAGAGATCTTTGGAGATTCTAACATGTCTCAGGATGCTCTGAGTACAACCCATCTTTCAAGATGGCGTTTATGGCCTTCAGTAACAGTCCCGTATTGCTGTTCGTATGCGCTTAAATGGTGAGTATACCATACATATCACACACAGGACCTTTTTAAAGCATCTATACAAAGCAAAAAGCACTATTAACAGGCTATGAAGTGAATAATGTTTCAGGCAGGGCAAGGATGAATAGAATTGATGAGAATTAATTAGAGTTCAGGACTCAATCAGCACCTGCTTATCTGAGTCTACAGTACATAGGCATTATAGACATTAATGACATTAATGTTCACTGTAAGATATTTTAGTACGAACACTTTAACAAGAAAAAGACAATAGCACATTTTAACAAAGAGCTCTAAGATAGATAGTTACATTCACCAAAAACTGTACGGAATTTATTCTGTATTCTGTCTTATTATGTACAAGTTATTCTGTATATAAATTAGATGAGTTGTATATTTTGTTATGTATATATTCTAAACCGTGGGCTATTCATATCCTGTTCTGTTACTGTTCATCTTCTGTTTGTCACAGAATAGTCTATCAGAAATGTCCGTCTTTAACGCAACGATTATAACGATAAAATATATATCTTGTAAATAAATCATGATGGAATAATGCTTAAAATCCTAATACAGCAACATTGCCCAGTAAGGACACTCTATTACCTATGCAATAAATAATGCAATAAATTGTGATTTGAATTTATGTTTGTGCAGTGTATTTTTATGCAAATTTTAATTTTAAATAATGTAATGTAAGTGATATAAAATATGATAAGCATGATAAGCAATCACATATCTATGTTTTTGGTTGGCAGTTTCCTTAATGTCACTGGAATTAAAATGCATAAGACACAGAATGGGATGCTAGCATTGCCACCATTATATATAATCCTGCTGTTTGATATAATATAAACATTTATATTAAAAGCAAATTAAATCACTAAAGAAAATAAAGTTTTTATTAGCTTCATTGCTTGCAGTGATGCAAGATATAACATTTTTATTAATATATTCATTATTAATTATTAATATATTATTATTAATATATTCAGGAACCAATAAGTTTTTATCTGTATAATACATGTAATAATTTTATCTATCTATCTATCTATCTATCTATCTATCTATCTATCTATCTATCTATAGACAGATATATGATTGTTTATCATGAAGTGGGATTTTATATGTACATACATAATATATTTTACTATTTAAAACTTTATTAATTTGGCTTTGTACAAAAGTGACAAGCAGAACTAAATAATTTACAAGTAATTAAATAAAGCAAAATATGTTCATTTTCTAGATTTTCAATTTTTTCTGTGATAATAGTATACCTTATAGTAATTCCAAATTTTAATAATATCAGGTTATAGTGAGATATCACATACATTAATCCATACTATCAACTGAATATTATTTTAAATGGAAATTAGCCAATACTTGTATTTTTTGCATGTTTGAGATTTTTTTATGTTGAAATTTTATTTGATTAATTGTGCTTCAGAATCGGCTTCAGTATCTTATCCTTAAAAATTCACTTCATGCCAGACATCTAATGGATACCCGACAGAATTCCTTCTGGAGAGCTTAACCATATTCATATGCTGAAGTCCTATTCTGAAAAATACTGCAGGATCTCCAGATCTTCAAATTCCACAGCAATTAGATCCATAAGAATTGAAAACATTTAAACTGAAAAGGAAGCACTGAATATTTTTCCTTACTCAATTTGATTAAAAAGGAAAAAGGTTTATTAAACCAGAATCACACATAAACATTAACCAACTTCTACTCTTTTAATAATGTTTCAGCTATTAAAAAACATGTTTACCATGATTACGCAGCCAATGCTGGAAATAATGTGTAAATAAAATATCAAATATAACTATCAAATTAGAATAAATATGTATTATATATGTTTTTTTATCATCCCAGATGTACTCAGAATCTGATTTCAAATCATACCAATCTAGGACCTATAAAAATGACGGTGATCACTAATGATATGGCCTTATAAAACCATATATATATTAATAAATACATTTTTCTGATGCAGTATTAAAATATTCATGCAGACATACCTTAATCTTGACTTTGGAGTTCGACTGGCATGTAATAATGCAGGAAGTTTAACTAGCTTACAATTCGGAAAAACCGTGGCTCTGTAAGTTTGTGGTTGAGCGCAATAAGCTCTCAGGGTCTTGTGCTCATTGCCTCAGCCTCACTCTGTGGGCCTCTCTCTCTTTCCTCAGCTATTACACATGTATGTCTAGTTATTAATCTAATTAATAATCTACTGTTCTTGACCAAACTAGAGGTTCTACAGCAACTTCTTGTGGCTGGTTGAACCTCCTGTTACTGTCAAATGATAGGGTTCGATCAGGGTGACTTCATTCTGCCAACTCACAGATGTAACGACCAGGGTACACAGACATAAATGGCCTTATAGATATATTGGGCAAGTGCTGGTCTGGTATATTGGGCAAGGTGTTGTTTCCATGTGTTTCTCCAAGGTACTTAACAATTTAGCCATTTTGGAAAATGTTTTGCTTCATTTTAAATCGATGTATTCCTGCCGTTCATTTCCTTTCAGCTCACAGATAACATTTTCGAACCCACACAGATGCACATCCTGTTTGGCTAAGGTGGTTTTGAGTAAGCATAGCTCATTGACTTATCAGATGTGTTAAGACGTTTCTAAAATTTGAAGGAAAAAAAAAAACATCAGTTGGGTTTACAGTCTGCTTTGCAAAAGTATTTCATCTTTGCATCATTATTAAAGTGAATAAATAAAAAAAAGCTTATGAATGGTGGCTATATTGCAACCTGTTTAACCAAACTTAAGTGGTATACAGTTTTTATTTATTTATACATCTAAATATTTTACTGGACTGGTCTTAGCTTAACTACATTACTTAAAGGTCACTACAGCAAATATAATGAAACAGTAAGAAAGACATGTGACCCAGATCCACCAGACACATAGTTCATCCCAAAGTTTCATGTTGACTATTTATCATTAACTAGCATTTTTCTGTAACAATTCCTTAAAACAGTGCATTTCATTTCACATCCTTCTCCCTTCTCTCAACCACTTATAGATTGTAGCACTGACAGGAAAACTGACTTCATCACCCCCTGCTGGCTCCTTCCAGAATATCTGCTACCAGTCTCTCTGCTAACAGTCTCCATCTGCCACATTTGATTTACAGTATAGCATTGATATAAATAAACAATTATATATTTAAGTCACAGTTAAAGATTGGATATTAAAAAGTTTATCCAAAATAAACTGCAGTGCATGTCAAAAAATTAAAAGACAAGCCATAATATTTTAGTGTATTAATTTTTTAGTAAGTTTACAGACAAATCAAATAATATAAGCATAACAAATGCTTTATTTCATGTAGAATAGTATTACAATTATACATTATTTGAAACATTTATTTCTTTTTTTTGCCCACTGGATTTCCTGGCTACCAGTCACATATACATATAAAATTTCAGGAAACACTGGAAACATCAGAGCCAAGTGCAAAAGGAATCTTCAAACATCAGTCAGGTTCCATCAACATCAATTAAGCTATACATGAAAAAATTATATGGTAAACACATGTTATATTAGCTTTATTAACTAAATGTATGCTTCTTGGTATTAACACAAGCCATGGTATCCTTTGTACTTTCTTCCTATACGTCCTTATTAGATTGCATGTTGTATATTATATTGACAGGGCAGACTTTTTTATCTGCAATAAATAACCCAGTGATCTTCATTAATTATCAGCTGGTATTTTTTAAAGCTATTGGCACTAGTGTACTCATTGATGCGTGATATATGCACGTGATACAAAGTCCATTGTTTTTTTCAAAGGCTTCCTCATCAGTTACATGAAATACTTTATATTCACTGAACCATAAAAGATCAGAAAATGCCCAGCTTATTTTAAGAGAGCAGAATTACGCCTTCAGTCATATTTCATGTAATAAGCAAGGGGTTGATTATCTTTGCACTGAATGCAGGTGTGTATATAGGAAACAGTAATATTTTAAACACAGACGTTTTCGTCTTATCAACAACAATATTTTGCCAAACATTAAAATGACTTTTGGAGTTGCGCAAATTTCTTGAAATTTTTCTGTGATGTTATTAATTTACTAATTTAATTAGACCTTTTTGTTGATAGATTTAAAAATACTATTTGTATTCAATATGTAAAAAATTATTACTACTTCCCTGAGCTCATATGCATCACTTTCCTTAATATTTGTGAATAACTTTGATTTTAATTAATATCACAAAACCTTTAATATTTCATTATATTTGCAAACTACAATATTTGATCCACCCTTCACGTTTCTTTCCATGACAACAACAGTTTGGCTAAGGCTTACAACTGTAGAAATATCAGCATAAAATTTTACAAAGACATTTTAATTACAGTACATTTTGTGTTACAACCATATAATTATACATACATATCCCTTTTTCCAGATATGTCACCGTTTCAAAATATACCAGAATGTTTTTATTCTACAAAATAAATCTGAAATTCCATCAGATCCCATTAAATAAAAACTGTTCACTGAAATGACAGTTGAATGATAAAGTGCTTAATGTAATATGATTGGCTGATTCAAGAACATTGTCCATCAGCTTTAGTGAATTTGTGGCTTTTCTAGATTCCCAACCCCTGACAGTCACTGGATGACTCAGTTTTGGATAAGCATTGTTTGCTATCTTGACTCTCCTTGGAGGCACCTGAATCATCAGAAGACTCTGCAAACTTGATATTCCTGTCTTCATCCAATGCTGCCTCTATGGAACCTGGTTGTGACTCAATGGATGACTTTGTTATTTGTTTAATCAGATAACCACTTTCCAGTGCATTTTCCAGCTCAGTTTCACCAGGACCATTTTTCTGATATTCTTCAACGGTGAATCTTGCTACGACACATGTTTCTGAATTATCCTCTGTTATATCACTGTCATGCTGTTGTTCCTCAGCATTGCCTTCTGTACATGTTTCAACAACATGTACTCTTACAGTTACATCAATATTATGTCTCTCTATAGCTGTGTTGACCTCTGCTTTTGTCTGCTCAGAAAATTCTTTCAGCTGATCACATCCATCATCTTTAACTGAATCACCATCTTCACTGGTTTCAGGATTTTGTCCTTCTGCATTGTCAACTTTATCTGCAGAATGTTCTTCAGGTGTTCTAACACAATGTGAATCATCATCCTCATGGGTTCTATTCACCTGTTCACCTGGATAATCTTCTGTGGTTTCAGCCACAGCTCTGCTGTATTCTTCACTGGCATCATATTTGTCAGCTTCCCCTTTATCAGCATCTGCTAGTCCCTCTGCCACTTCAGCAGATGCAAGATTTTCTTCAGTTATGTCATCCTGATTGGCCGAGCCTTCTTCTTTGTCTTCTTCTTTAATAGTCATGCCCTCCTCTATTTCTTCACTGTCTTCAGCAGCATTTTCTTCAGTAATACCATCATTCATTGGCTCACCATCTCCTGCTTCTGTTGCTCCGTATACTTGACCACTTTCTTCATTCTCAGCTACATCAATCCCCTCACTGTCTTTGCCTGCCTTACTGGCATCATCTTCTACAGCACTTCCCTCTTTGTCCTCTGATTGATTTCCAGTCATTTGTTCTCTGCTAATACTTTCCAGTCCTTCATCAGCTTCATTATCCATTTCAGGTCTTTGCAATTCCTTAAGCTTTGCCTTTTCCCTGTTCCCTTCCTCCTCCTGCAATACCTTAAGACTTTCGTTTGTGTCTTGGGTTCCGTTGCCACCAACAGTTCCCACTTCAACATTTGGTTGTTCTTTTAAAATTGCAGGAGGTTCCCTTTTCAACTGGAGAATTTTTCTTAGATCAAAATCCATCATCACCGGAGCAGAACTTACATTTTTTTTCTGCTCTAGAAGTCTGGAAGCCATTTTCTTTTTCATGCATGTTTCACACGGACAGTATCCATCTTCACTGCGTTGATCGCTAAAATCAGTACCGGTGACAGAATAATTTTCTTCACTTCTCTGAAGTGAATCCTTTACAGATTTGTTGTGCATAACCTTCAGACGTCGACGTCGTTGCTCAGTTTGCACAGAAGACTCTCGGGAGATGCTCTGCATTGGAGGTCTTGGTTCCCTTCCAGCCCGACTGTGAATTTTTTGAAGCTCTCTATTGATGCTTGACTGTATCCTCTTGCTTACCTCTTCTCTCAGTTCGTTTATCATAGCATCCAGAATTACATTGTCGTCCAAGTCCCATCGTACTTTAAACTCTGCCATTGCGTTTACATAATGTGTCATAAACTGCTTTTCTAGTTTTTTTAACAAATTCAAAACCCAGACAGGATCCGGGTCTTTGGAAACTTTTTTATTTCTTATATTTTCTGAATATGGAAGCATCCTAGAACTTGCAACATCCTTTATATCTCTTACAGTCTCACCTGCTAATTTTAACATATTACCTTCATTCCCTGAACTTCTATTTGATGTGGAAGGTGTTTCTATAATTTCCTTTGGACATTCATCACTTCTGATTGTTTCATTTGAATCTGGACCTTTGTGTTTATCTTCTTGTCTCTTGGTATCAGTACCTTCTTCCTCATTTACAGGGCTATCCCTCACGCGCATGGCTATGTCAGGAGTCGCTGGATCAGACAGTATAGCTGTTTCTTCTCCATCCAAAATTAGTCTGGATGAAGAGGCAATAAATTCAATTTCTTCTTCCAATGGTTGTAATGCATTCTGGTCAACAAGTGCCATACCCATGTTTAGTGGTAATTCTGCTTTTTGTGCCTGATATAGGCCACCATTATCACTGCCCTTTCCAGAGCCTGCAGAACCACTACTAACGTCTACACCTGATGAGGACTTTGGATCATCCGCTGATCGATGGTTTTTGAATGGAACACTTTTGTCGTTGTCCAAAGGATCACAGAGCCAAAGTGACTGGAGGATGTTCATCAGTTCATTATACCGTGCATCCCTAGCTCTGTCATCAGCAGGATCTATGTCTATCAGCTGAAGATTTGCAAGGCAATCCAATAGCCCTTTGGCTGAGTTGCTGAGTTTTCTTCCATATACAGGGGACACTTCTGGTAGGCTGTTGCATCTATCAAATTTTGGGCTTAACAGGACCTTCATCACCTGTACTGAAGACTGACAGCTTTTTGGCAAGGCTTCCCTGTTGGCACATTTACTGGGTGGTTTTTCATCAACTTTTGGAAGCCGTGCCCCGGCTGATTCTTCAAAGGGCTTATTGTTTTCATCATCAGCCTCTTTACCGTCATATTCCTCTTTGTTTTCTTCTTCTGCCACAACTGGCTCATCATCAAATGTCATCGATTCCCTTTGTGCAGATTCCTCCTCCTTCTCAGTTGGATTTTTTTGTACGTTTGTTTCATATGCCTGTCCATAAAACTCCTCTCCAGCATCATATATGGGACTGTCTGTTGGTATTTTTTTCAACCAATCATGTACTACTTCTCTTGGGGATGTGTTAGGTAAACAGAAAGGCACTATCCCCAATACTTCTGCTTCTTTTTTTGGCAGTGAGGAGCTACTTCTTTTCCTGTGTCTGCATCTGCTGCCTTTGTCATTTTTGTTATCATTTACATTTTTGTATGACTCTGTGACTTCAAGGACAAAATTGTAAGTTTTCTCAGTAATATTTGTCTTTGATTCAGCAGTATCTGGTCTAACATCTTCAGACCTATAATTCAATAAATCAGCTGCAGAGAGTGAGCAAGACAAATTGCTATCATGTGAATTCCCATTCTGTGATGCAGGACTCTTATATTTTTTAGAAGCCCCCTTTGAAGGACTGGGACTAAGACAATTCCAAGAAACTATTGACATGGCAGCTGAATTTGTCCTTGAGGTTTTATTAATTTCTGTGTCCTTTCTAGATGACTTTTTTACAGAATGAACACTCTCATGATCACAGATTCTAGTAAGTTCTTTATCAGCATCTCCCATTATAGCCATTCCTTTGTTGATTACAGTACCAGATTCACTGACATCTTGCTTCTCAGCATCTGAAACAGTAGAATCTCTGCGGCGGGGCTGCAAGTCTCCCGAAGAAGATTTATTTCTGGCAGAGCCACTTGACAATGCAGAAGGTACTCTGTCATCATTTATATTCAAGGGGCTGCTTGGTTTGCATTTTGTGGGAGTTTTTCTGCAAACAGATTCCACACCTGTTACCTCCTGTTCATCACTTTGAAGTGTCTTTGTAGGAGTACTTATTGACTTAGATGAGCAGTGGTCACTTTCTCTGGACATTTCCGATTGCTCTGAAACATTGCTCTTGAAAGATGCTGTGCTCTTTAGTCTCTCTTCAGCACTCTCTTCATTTTGTTTCAACCCATTTCCATTTGCGGTACCCAATGTTACGGATTTTGCTGTAGCTTTAGCAACTTTTTTGTTAGTAATGCTATTAGATTTGGTGGATGTAGCAGAGGCCTGTGATTTTAACGATACCACACTTTCAACTCCTCCTTCACTTTGGTCTATGTCATTCTTTGGTATTTTTACAGCTAAAGATGTTCCACTATTCTCCATGTCATTACTTTGACATATATTGGACTTTTTAGTGTCAGATGCTTTGGAATCGACAGACAATGAACTTCTCACTCTCGTCTCACTCTCCAGTTCGCTGTCGTTCTCACAGTTGCCAGATATCTTTGGTAAGGGTGTCATTGGGTTTGAGCCTCCGTCACATGCACCACAGGGGTTTGTGTCTGATGAATTTGATTTCCAAGGAATTTTGGTGCCAGCAGACACGGTGGCTGCTCTTTCTTCACTATCATTCAGAGCTGGCAAGCTGTGGTGACTAACAGATATTTCTGATCTTTCCAATTTCATACGTCTGTAGGACGTCTCCCTGCTTGCCTTCTCCCCTCTTTCTCCCCTCTTCAGTGCTCTGTCTGTTGCGTTACTATCTGATGTATTTGATTTCCCCAACCTATTAGAAGCATTTACCGAGGCTGACAGTGCACTTCTTGGCATGTCCATCTTCTCTTCTTGTTCTGCCTCAGCTTCTTGGTTGCAAAGATCATCTGTTGCTACTGACTCTTCTGTTTGTGAGGCATTATGCTGAAACTTGTTAGACTGTCTTGATTTTGATGACTCATTAGGTTTGACAGACATAGCACTGATTGCACATTTCTCTGTATCCTCATCTTCTCTCCCTTGGTTTTCTTTAACAGGACATTCAAATGTGTTAGACTGTTGACTTGACTTTACAGATGCATTACAATTTGATATCTTGGATGTCCTAAATTGTGCCGAAAAGCTGAATTTGGCTGATGTTGTATGTAATGCTATTTCCTCTGTCTCCACTATCTCTTGTTGTTCTGCACCATGAACAATTTCTGACTTAATAAAACTATTCATTTTTTCAGAAGCATTTGTTTCAGCAGATATAGATGTTTCTTGTCTTTCTAGAATCAACTCTTCATCTTTTCTCAATTGACTATTAGTTACATTTTTTGATATATTTAAAACTGGGGTAATATTTTTATAATTCTCAGATTTCATAGACATTTCTGATATATCTGTTCTGTCTGATACAGAACTAACTGATCTGGAACTATGGTCTTCAACATTCATATCAAAAAGTTTCTCAGATGCCTTTAATCTGGATCTGTCAGAACCACCACAATGTGGACATGCATTAGACTTCTTGGATCTTCGTGAAATGCTAATAGTTCTTTCATGTCCATCGTGTCCATCTGGACCTATGTCGGTAATCAATGATTCAGGAATATTATATGATTTCTTTGACAGCCGTGATGCGTTGCTACATTTCAATCTAGTGCTGGCTTTTCTGGTATCACTCTCAGCAATAGCTACCTTAACACTCCCTGGTACAACTGAAACTATACCAGAGTTGTGAGATTTTCTGTGTTTAGATGATCGTTTTGAAACAGCTGATATAGCACTATGTACACCCTCAATGTTTTCATTTTCAGCCTGGTTTACTAGTACCTCTATTGTAGGAGATACAGATGTGCTGTGATGTCTAGACTTTGCAGCCTGAGTACAGCAGAAAGGTGCTTTATTTGGACGCTTGGGTGGCAAATGGTTCATAGGGTAAACTGATTTGTGTGCAGTGATGGAGCAATTAGATGCAACACTTCCCATTTTCCCCCTACCTTCAAGATTGTCTCCATGAGGCCACAAGGATGCTCTTGATATGCTTGGTGGGAGTTCATCATCATCAGTATCTTCAACATCCTGATACCCCTTGAGTTCCTCCAAGATCTTCGAGGTACTGCTCATTCCTGATGCAGGTCTATCCTTTGAGATCTGTGCCACTCTAACATGCTCTTTCTGTGAACTTCTGATGCCCGCAGAGGCTAAACTGTTAGACCTGGTTTCATCATTCTCAGGACTCTTAGACGTTTCGTCCATGGAAGCCCTGCTGTCAGACTTTGCACAGACTTCACTGCAGCTACAGCAGTGACTGATGGCACAATACTGCACTTTGGTATCCCGAGCCTTCACAGTCTGCTGCAAACAAGTTGCTTTTTGTATGACATGCTCTGCGTATTCTTCACTGGATCGAGAAATTGTAGACATGTTCTCCACAGATTCCCTTTCGCATAAAATTTTATGGGAAGATGCACTTGAACTTGAAGATCTAAAATGCCCGATGCTCCCCTGGTCTCCATGCATAGGATTCTTCCAGATGTCGTACTCTTTGCAATGATTGCTGCCGTTTCGGCACTGCTGGGACTCATCTAGATGCCTCTGGTTGCATTCTGATACGTACAGTTCTTCGTGTTCACATTGTACATTGGACTCTGGATCTGAACAGCTTTCAGATTTGCCTGGCTGTAGATAATGAGACTCTTCATTTCTGAAAGCAGAGTCATTAACAGCCCCCACCGACTTCTTAATTTCAGTAGACCACTGAAGGGTCTCGTCATTAAGGAGACGGAACCGCACTTTCATCTCCACTGACAGACTCCCATCTTTATTAACAAGAACTCTTTTCTCAATGTCATCATTTATCAGTGTGTCCTGTGCATGTTGCGGTCCAACATGACTGGTATGGTCATGAGTCATGTGCGGTCCACTGGGGCATGATTTTTCTGATGACAAGGAAAATCGGGTTGACCTGTTGCTTGAATCTGATCTTGGGTGGATGATACTTTTCTTTGTCTCAAGTCCAAAATTGACTGCTGTTACACCATGCAAAGAAAAAAGAACAGAAACTTGAATAAGAATATAGAAAATAAAACGTACAGTATATGGGCACTACAATTATGATGGTTCTCAAGTATCTGCATAACTATTCTGATACATTTATAACTATCATGAATTTATAATAACAAAACTGATTCTAATTACATAGGACTCTACTCTTAATGGGTCATCAATAAAATGTTCTTGTTTAAATTGGTTTTAAACAACTTACAGCTACCAACAGAGTCTGAGACAATAGCAACAAAAACTGAGCAATTTTTTCTTAATTTCTGGTCTTGAAAGTTTTGGTGACCTACCATTTTTCTTGCTTTCGTGGTTTTCGCTGCAAATGGAAGACCGTGATCTTGAAGCCAGTCCTGGAAGTTTCTCATCTGAGCTCTTCCTCAGGTTCTCCACCAAAAGCGGATGGAAAGGCTCACGCCCAACGCAGACTAACACATTGGGGCACTGCATTAGGCTGTGGATGCTGTCAATCTGAAATAAACAGATACAGTCTATCACTCTGGGCTCGCACTCTTCACATGTGTTGGCTAGCACAGTGTTCCTGCTATATACCTTTTGAAGCGTTGGCCTGCCATGAACAAATTATAGCCGTCACTGCTTCAGATTTTTATGAAGTGTCATGAAGTCACAATTACATGATTCTGCAGGGGAATTTAAATGATGGATACAGGAAGTGGACACATGTGAGGACACACATCCATGCATCCACCCAATCCGGTAGGATACCAATGGTCTATACGGCCAACGAGATTGGTGGAGGAAAAGGAGAAAATGACAGAGAGGAGAGAAGCGAGAGATAGGTAGATTTAACTAGTTAACGTTAAGTTTGATAGATTTTACAGTTTAAAAGAACATTCCAATGTGACATATTTCTCTGTTGATTTTCATGGCCAGCTAATTATCAATATTAGTATATTGTGAGGCGCAGTGGTTGGCATTGTTGTCTCACACCTCTAGGATCAGAGTTCCAGTTTCCTCCAGGGTTTGTTGTGTGTGGAGTTTGCATGATCTCCCCATGTCGCTGTGGGGTTTCCTCTAGGTCCCCCGGTTTCCCCCCACAGTCCAAAAACATGTCCTCTCATTTATTATCATGTATCAATCAACATGTAGTACTGCACCATCTGATATCCATCCAATGTATTGCTGCATTTTATGTTAACCGTATAAGCACAACTACGCACTTCAAGAAAGGGTAGAATATTCAGTATGCTACTCTACTGAGTGTTCACCATATACGTATAACTATGCACTTCAGAAAGTAGACGGGCAATATAAAACTAAGTCCCAAGTATGGCAGAAACCTGTGTAACCTTTAACTACATAAAAATAGAATTGATATGCTTAAGCCACTGATAAGTTCAAAAGAGGCTGGACAATTGCAATTATGGGCAAAAGCTGCCAACGTTAGATTCAAAGGAAGCTGGAAAGAGAGTCAGCTGGGGCAGCAAAACCTAGGAAGGAGCCAAACTCCTGGTCTGGAAATAATGGCGGTGAGCCGACGAGGATGAAAGACACCTAGAGACCACCATGTGATCGACCTGTGATGAACTAGAAGATAATACATAAGAAAATGCATAAAAATGAATATAACTAAGTATTGGGGGCACGTCTGCATCTCTGCAATTACAATAAAGACTGACCACGCATGCCGGTCCTAGAAGGGAAAAGGAATGTCGGTCCCAGAAAGGAAAACCACGATATTAACCTTAACAAACTCATTAAAATTTAAATATTCTTGATTGCATTTACAGATGAGTTTGTTAAAATATTTCCCCAAGAAGAGAAAGGTGCCTGGTGTTGATGAGGAAGAGAGTCAGATAACGTTTCTTTAGCTCAAAGTTCATAGCTATGCCTTGAAGTTTTGGAGGGAAAGAACTCATTCCTGCTTCTATAATATGTAACATTACAGGCGACTACTATAATATTTTAATGTTCTTACTGGTTGAGTGATCAAATATTTGTGATGTGAGAAAATTATTCAGTGTTACTCATTCTGAAATGAACTACACACGCGCACCACCTAGGTACAGCAAAGCCCCTTTGAGGGGGTGGGGGTGGTGTTAAAATAATCCTAGAGGAAGCACAGCAGAATGTCTATAATTCCATTTTTAAACAGGTTCTTTTATACGACGTGGGCAGTCGCCCAGGACGGCATCTTGCTGGGAACAGCACGTGGCAACCACACAAAAAAACACCGGAACAGTGACATTTGCACAGTCGGCTTAGTATCACTCATTTGCACGTCACATCAGTGATGTCACGTCACCGTGTGGGTCAGTTAACCTTGTCGGAGTGGGCGCCCTGATTCGAGTTTGTGAGCCAGGCAGCTCAGGTCGCCCAACTGGAACTCCAAGGTTTCCTTATTTATTTGTATCATTCCAAATTTCTTAATAAAAATTTGTGCCAAAGGTTATTTTTTCTTTTAGCGGATGAGTTCACCCTGGGTGCCATACAAGCTAAAATCACCATTGTATAGTACATATATTCCTGTAGCATTTTAAAGGGTAAAAGCCATTTAAAATGATATGTTTTCATTATTATGGAAAGAAAATTTCACCTGTTATCACGTGATTATGACATAAAAGTACCGATACACTCATATCACAGATTTTTTGGGATATCCTTAGTGTTTCAATACAAGTCCCTGAGGAATGAGACCTGATTAAGCACTGGACATTTCAAAGGGTTAAATACCTGAAAGCTTAGGTTATTTATAACAACTTCAATGAGAATCAACCTCACCTTGCGCCCTTCCAGCGTGTAAAGCTTTTTGATGTGGCACTGCATGAGTTGGGAGATCTCATCCATGAAGACCCTGAGGTTGCACGTAGTCCTCCTGCTGAGAACAATGGATCTCCGCACCGCTGGGTCGTTATTCTTTACCAGGACAATCGTCTTGGGATGCCAGTGGTACCGCTGACTCGAGTGGGCGGTGGGCGTGTCCTCTGGCCGGGAGGGCTTCCTATGGATGCCATGGGGGTGACCTGGATGCCAAACGTTAGACCTTCGTCTGAATGCCTCCATGCAGATGGGCTTGACGTGCCGACGGTCCGAGCAGAGGTAGCACCCGCCGTCCTCCAGCTGCTCCAAGCGGTTTATGCTGTGGGTGGCCCTAGGCGTCGTGATGCTTCGCACCCCGAAAGGCAGCGGCACTCGTTGGGAGAGGTCATCCAGGAGGGCGTCGAAGCACTTGAAGCTGCGTTCGTGAACGGCCATTCTGACGCCACCGAACTGAGCGTCACCACTCTTGAAGAAGGTGACCCTCTTGGCTGGGTGGGCTGCTGTCACATGGGAGGAGTGAATTCCAGATGACAGCGCCGGCCGCGTCTCATTGTTAACATGTGTGCGGGGGTCCACCCTGTCCCCAGGAGCAGTGAACATTCTTCCAGCTCACTCTATGCTGCTGGTGAACAAACAACATTACATTAACTTCTCATCAGCTGCCTGTCGGGGCCAACAAAACAATTAATTTCGACAATAAACACGGCTATTCCAATGATCCTTCTGAGCAGAAAATAAAGCGAGTAAGACTCAACATTAAGTCACGGAGCTGGAGCAACTCTGCAGCGGAGGAGACTTTATTGCAACTCAGCATTTAAAGCTGGTTTTTCTCCTGCGTAAAAAAAAAAAAACCTTAAACAGTCGCTTGCCATTTGTTTGAGATTATCTTTCTGAGTAACAAGACAAAAGCAACACTTACCCCCCCCCCCCCCCCCCCCACTTCTATCTCTCTGTGATGAATAGCTGTTGCTAAGCCCGTTACTAGGGACATGATGAAGGCGCTATACCAGGATATTACATGCCACTTTTCAGGTTGTGTTTACTCGAGAAAACTGTGTCCCGCAAAAGCTTCATGTGCATTTCCTATTTCATTTAAACAAAATGCTTTAGACGCTTCTTGCTGTACTAATGTTAAATTTACACTTGTGTATTTTCTCAGCCTTGCTGTACATGTTTTCATATAGGTTATTAAACCTAATCTAACAATGACGTCTGATTCTGTCTACTGAAGCAGCCTCCATGAAGTATTTATTAATGTTCACCCTTGTTTTAAGCAAACTGTAAATAGCAAGTTTATTTGTAATTGATCTGTATAGGATTACACAATACATAGTACAGAAGAAACTCAAATTAAACCAGATTTCCTAAACAAGTGGTGTACCTATAAAAAGAAAATGGAACTTTGAAAAGTATAAAGGGAGACTACCAAGGACAAATGCAGCTTCCACTGTATACTGCGTTCATGTTTTCCTAAAGGTTCGAAAAAGTGTTGCCATGGAGAGAACAAAGCAGGAGAATTGAAGTCAGAATGTTCTAACATTGTGCAAACAGAGTGTCACAGGTTCATAGAGTGTCATAGAGATTTCAGTGTCACAGGTTTTGATTAATTACTATGTCATAATAGGAATTAACCTGAACAAATCTTGGGAAGAGATTACATGTACATATGCATTAGACACATCTGAACTATTTATCAAAGCAAATTTTACTTGTACTAAGCAACACCTGCTTGGGAAACAGGTTTCCAAGTGTTTTAGGATGTTTAACATACTGTAAGTCTTACATTTGAATACATCTTTCACATGTATGGCTTATTCACTATCATCTGAAATTATCTGATTGCACACTGATTGCACTTGGTTTACATTAAAATATTTTATATACTCAAATGTGACAGGTAGGCGAGCTTTTGAAACAGAGCAAACCAAACTGTTTGCAACGGAAGCCATTTATATAATTGTATAAGAAAGCCGGTCTGAATGTTTCATCCTTTGCTTCTGTGATGAATCACTCATTTTTTACTTCACACCATCGTGATAAATTGGCCTCTCTTTCTGGAACATTGTTGCAAAGATTCTTCGGGGCTACTAACACTAAATGCACTAAAAAAACATTTTATCAAAAGATCTAAAGCATTGTCTCTTAACTGGTGAGTCGTGACCCAAAAGTAGGTCACGACTGGACCATTTCAACGGGTCACATAGTGAGTGGTCAACAAAAAAAAAAAAAAATTATGGACTGTATGGAAATCATTTGTATAGGTTTTGTTTATTATTACTGTACTATTTTAGTAAAATAAGTTTGGTTCAAAACTTTCAAAATTTGGGTCATAACATAATGACCTAGGGAAAATGTGGGCCCAGAGCTTAAGCCAGTTGAAAACCACTGATCTGGAAAGCAGTTATATGGAAGAATAACATTCTTTATTGTTGCGAATGTGCCACCCACGATACTTTCAAAACAACTTGGAAAAAAATGTTAGTACATTTAACTTTTTAATTCTCAATCTGTGCAACCAGACAAGAAATAAATAAATCCAATTACAGAGGGGGAATGGCCTTATTTAGCCTCTCACACATAGGAGGAAACCTTCATATATTTAAACTAAGTCTACTGAGGAAAAAAAAAATGAAAATCCTTCGCAGAGCAGATAAGAAAAGCATAAAATAAAAGATTTTGTATTGTAAACGATTGTGTGCATTCATATATTATAATGAACTGTTTTCCTGTTACTTCAGACTGTGTACCGATATTATCGTCTGACTAAAACCACCCACTAATTAACCAAAGCAACTTTTTTCCAACCTGAATGAGTTTCCCTTTGTCTTCAACCTATATCTATAATTTATGATGTAACAAAACACAAAATACTCACTTTGTTAGAAAACATGACCTAGTTCGGTAGGAACACGACAAAAAAAAGGCAAAGGTTCTTAAGGCGAGGCAGAGTCCAGACTGTCGTGACTAAAAACCAAAGGGCTTGAGGGCAGGTGCTGGGAGAACAAAACCGGGTTTAATTAACGAGAACTGAACAGGGGCTGGAAAACAAACGGGACCATGAGGAGTCAAATCGAGACGGCTAGTATGGGGAAGGACATCAATGACCGAACTGGGGCTGACAAGACAGAAAGGTACTTAAATACAAAGGCTAACAAAGGGCAACAAGAAACAGGTGTGACTCATCAGGGCCACATAAGGGAGGAGTCAGGAGGGTTAGGTCTGTAGGATGGGCAGGATGTTACACAAACAAAATAATATAGCAGTATATGCCTCAAGTATGTCCACAGTCTTCAAAGACCAATTACAGCTAACTGTAAGTTCAAAAGCCCTCTTCCTATTGGTTAGTCTTTTCCAACCCGGTCCTTGGGGACCCACAGACAGTCCACGTTTTTGCTCCCTCTCAGCTCCCTGCCAGACAGTCCATGTTTTTACCAGAAGCTGGGAGAAAGCAAAAATGTGGACTGTCTGCGGGTCCCCGAGGAGCAGATTGGGAAACACTGCTATAGGTATATCCACTAATCAGGTCCTTTGGAGTCTAAGGATAGAAAAGAAAGCCTCTTTAATCACTATTAGATTTCAGTGAAATCCAGGGGGCAGCTTAGATGGAGGATTTAATGCTAAAGAGTGACCAATACTTGCGATATCATCCAAAGGTCAACAATGCTGCTTCTTCAAACAGAAAAATATAATTTAAATATAGTAATAAAATAATCAGATATAATGCATCTGGAACAGACTCAGCCTGTTATTGTGCAACAAGGCTACAGATTATAGGCAGTACTAGAATCGCCTTCGTAACTTTACAAATAATCAGCAATTTACGAATGATTAGCCTATCCCTAAGGTTCTGACTAAAAACAAAATGCTTACTCATCAACTCAGTCCCCACTTTGTCTACGGCAGTACTAATCCCGTTGCTTGTTATGAGCAGATTGAGGGGCGTGGGCAAGAAGACTTTCCTATGACTCATTTACTGCAAGGTTTACGGTCTGCTGATTGTTAAACAGAAACCCCAAAATCATCACTGCATCAGGTGGGACGTTCCTCACTTTCCATATCACATTTTTGCCAGCTTTACTCTGATGGATGAATGAAAACACACTATTTAAACTAATTAGCATACTTTTTTTTGGGGGGGGGGAGGGGGTCTAAGGAGCATTTTAGCGGGGGTAAAGCTATTAAAATCAGTCCTAGTGGTGCCCCTGCTATTAAGGACTGAAATTAACGAACCCAAGCAGTACCTATTAAATTTTGGATGACATACTGTCCTACTTTCCCAGAACATCAACAGAATCATAACACGACATGTTACATGTCACCAAATGTTTCCAGGCCGAGATAGCAACAGAGGTGAAGCGGGGGCAGTTCACTCAAAATATAACAGATATGTGTCATTCTTATGCTATTATGCATGACAGTTTTAAGACATTTATATATATATATATATATATATATATATATATATATATATATATATATATATATATATATATAGCTTGTCATCTACAGCTGAACATGATAATTCCATCTATTTCACTGAGTGTGAAATTAACCTAAAAGACATTTCCATACTACCAAAATATGTAAAAATCTTCCCTTACAAAATGTTTTGTTCATTATTTTATTCTCTTATCTGGCATTTTATAATTCACATAATTTATACATATATCATTTATTTGTACAAACGGATATTTTAATTGAGTCCTTAAAAGGAACTGCAACAAAACAAAAACGATCTAAGAAGCATTTCATGCTACATCTACACCTCATTTATAGCACAAAATAACAGCATGACTCTTTTTTTAGCGAATGCCCAGCTTACCGTGATGCATGCGGACGCATTTCAGCAAGAGCACAATGGATACTTGTTCCCCTGATACCTCCCCCTGTGTAAGACTGACGAGCAGAAATTCAGGCCAAGCTCAGATTTGACTTGCAGACCTCCTCCAGGAGTCAGCGCCAAGCAATATTTAGCTAGTGATGGCAACAGGCAGCTCAGCTATAAACGGAGGTCAGGGCCACTGCATTCTGGAGCCTCCATGCTTCCTGGGGGCATCTAAAGCCTCTGATGCCCCACAAATCGTGTCAATGTCCGTCATTTAACAGGTCTGAATTACTGATACGCAGGGGATGAATTGGACTGATGCGAAAGAGGATTATTCTTGTCTGCACCATCTGTAGATGCAGGTCTTAACCCTTAAGAGGAGCACGGCAAACAACACCTAGATGAAAGCAAAATATAACAAGCATAACAATATGCATTTCAAGATGTGACTATTTACATTTGGTGTAACAAAACCAGTTGCTATCTATCTATCTATCTATCTATATCTATCTATCTGTGTCTCTGTCTGTCTGTCTATCTGCCTATCTGTCCGTCCATCCTTCCATCCGTCCATCAATCCATCCATCCATCCATTCGGCTTCTAATTGTTGATCCTGACCAGGACTGCGGAAAGACCTGGAGCCTTTCCCCGGCAGCATACGGCACAAGACTGGGGTATGCCCTGAATGGGATACAAGTCCATTAAACAAGTTACTAGCAAAACAAAATCAAGAAGAACAGTCAATGCATAGCTGGACTGAAATTTTAAAAAGGGTCGTGTACATCTATAGCAAAAGAAGAATTGGACTCGTTGTGGGATTCACACTTACAGTCATTCCGTATATCACACGCAAAGACACACTACAACCTTCCAAGTTCAGATGGAGATTTTTTTTAAATAACTGTTAGAAGTCAGATTTTGGACAGGCAAGTGTTAGAATTTTCCTAAACATTTCTAAAACAAGAAGTGGCTGAAGATATTTGTCCTTGATTATTAATTTGCCCATGAACAACCACATGGCTAATCGGCAACAAGAATTTTTCCATGAATAAAGTATAAAGTTGTTTCCTGTCAGGTATGAAGATACATGCTTCTACAAAAACAAACATGACACAGACTGAATCTCTTCATCTGACAGTCTATTAAAATCGGATAATATACAATACATAAACAATAAACAATATACAGAAACAAATCAGAATGAAACTATTTACTGGGCTGCTGCATGCATGTCATAATACTTGCCAAAGTACATTTAAACTTATAATTAATCACGAAAGGATTCACAATATAAACTCTCCTGTTGCTTAACATTCATTGTCTTTTTTTGTCATATACAGCTGGACAAAACCGCAAAACTGAAAGATGTAACAATATGGTTGAATACAAATCTGAATATAAATTCATCTTAATGAAAACCCATTCCCTGTAGAGTCTGTATAATTGCATACTCCAATTATTAGGGCTACAAGCCATAATTAAGAACAGCATGGTTCTAAGTTCAACCTGATCTTCAAGGAACCTGCTGGGAATTGTTAGAAGGAAATGCTAAATATTATTGGAATTTTAAAAAACCTATATACAAAAAGAAGCCAAACAAATCATTGCATACAGGGAGACCCATTTAAAAACTACCCCAAATGTGAATGATGGCTAGGAAGAAAATTGAGCTGTCAGTGGAGCTTATGAAGCAACGGACTACATGCAAATGAGTTCTCCAGGCAACGCTGTTCAGTGCAATGCCACCCCATCTATCCTTTGACCAAAATCATAAATTCAAACAGTTGAGACCCTTGGGTGGTTTCGTATAAATTATCAGGAGGAGAGACAGGATGGCGTTCCATTGCCAAGCCACACAGACCAGACTGCCTGAGATATCCAGGCAGCACAATCGCTGCTGATGATTTAAGTATGAGACCTACATTTACAAGACAATAATACAACCAGTCATAATGCATGTCGTTTTTGAAATGGAAAATATTTCCACCAGCTACAGTCTTTTTGAAGATATTGTATTTATTTGCACAGAAATAGGTCACTCATGAAGGGATCAAACTGATTTAATCACTGAAATCAACAGAACAGGAAAAGGCCATGACTTCCCTCACTGACATTTTAAGAAGTTATATATTAATTATTATCTCATTAAATGGCATAAGAGTTAAGAATAACTTGGTGATGTCGAAGAATCAACCTTGTATGATATTTTGTTATCACTGTAAATGAACTGTAAACACTGTCTACAAAAATTATGATATTCTATTCGTAATGACGTGGATAGACATTTAAGTCATTAAACTGATATTTTCAGTTTTAAAATCTAAAACACAAAGCACTCCTCAATCCGGAGTATGAAACATATACACACCGTTTAAAAAAAAAAAAAAAAAAAAAAAAACTTAATGAATACGTGTAATATTAACCGTAAAAATTTTGCGACGCAATAAAATATATTGCTGTCAGAAGTGGGATTCGAACCCACGCCTCCAGGGGAGACTGCGACCTGAACGCAGCGCCTTAGACCGCTCGGCCATCCTGACTGCACAAAATCAACCTAATGTTTACTTTTATAAAACATATTAAGTTAATGCAAGTTATGTAGGCAATCTTTTCGTTTTTTATTATTATTTGTTAAATATATTTTAATAACCGCGACGAAAGGGTTGAATCATTTACCTTTAGACGAACAAATGCCAACATATAACGCTAAACTACTTCATTCATTATGGTCGCTGGGACCAAGATGTGTATTACAGCATAATGGCCTCCTTGACAGCAAGATAAATACGGATAAAAGATGTTAAATAATTTTACATTACAAGGGACCAGTTTTCCGCTGGATAAACTTACAGTCGAAATATTAAGTACATTTTGATGGTTTTGCGTATATCAACTACCTACCTAAGATTTCGGCATTAGCTAGATGGCTAACTTCTCGCTAGCTAGTTGGCAAGCAGATTAAAACTCATACTGACCCATACAGCTGGGTGCATTGGCTAGGTGTATGTTAAATTGCACCAACGGCGTGACTATATATATATCGGGCAAAACTGTTCCTATTTTCGACCATCGCACTCGAACGAAGCACAGCTGCGATCAAATTACAGATCAGGTTTGACAAAAAACGCAACAAGTTCCCATTTTGTTTTTCTTTTTTTTTCTTTGCAACAGCAGACTGGAAACAACCATTCTATTACACCCATATAAATACCTGCTATGAGGCTCACGGTCATGCAGCAGACTAGCTAACTATAAAATCTGCAGTTATATACGAGGGGGAAAGATAAAGTCACATTAGTTGACTTACACGTGATAAATGCAACACGCCACGCCGTTTTTCTTTTCATCAGCCATTCCTACAGTGCAGCAAATCCATTAGCTGCTCCATTGTTATCCTCTTATTTCAGCTGAATGAAACCAATACATCGAATGGAAAATGGTTATTTCCAGATAACAAAAAACGAATAACATACTGTGAAAATAATGCACATCGATATTAATTAAGTGCGTGCGTTTAAGGTTGCAGTATTTTAAGGAATCGTTTCGTTTTCTTTTTTTTGGGGGGATAAAGAGATGAAGCTGTGCAGCACATAGGCGATGGAGAGGTTTTGAAGGAGATGACATAAGACATCATTTTAATGTGGAATTTGTGTATGACACCATGCTTGCTGTGAGAGTATGCATACAGTGCCAGCTGTTGTGTGTGTTTCCAGACTCAACAAACAGCAGAATTCTATATTGAAATATGCGAAAGATATATTGTGCACAATGAACCATCTTGCTAAAACTTCAAGATGACATTTCTGATAAAACGTTTTATGCCCTTTCTAAAAATTTCGTGATATATATCCACTCAAAAGTTTAACACGTATAAGTGACAATCAAGAAAAATGACAGCATCCAAACTTGATCAGTTAAGTCCCAGTTATTTTATATATGCTATAGCTGACAAAGTTATTTTCCAGCAGCATATTACCTATTGATTATGGGACATTTGACCTAGAAGAGACCCTTTTATGCAGGAAAGTACAACTTGTATCATGAGAGGTTTTTTGCAGGATAGTAATGTATGCATTGTATTAACTCGTGCCTTTCTGTAGGTCTAGCTCATGCCAGCAAAATGTAGGTGCATAATTATGGAACGATTGGTGACTTAAAGGTTCTCAGGTCTATTCCTTGCTGTATTGCTTACATGTGCTCATTTCTGTTTGTTGGGAACGTACTGTAAATATTAAAATTGTTGTTTAATGCTCCTTCAATACTCAAAAGTTCATTGTCTGCCATATTTTTATTTTCTGCCATATGATTTACGATCAAATCAGTCAACTGACTAAAGCTGATGATCACATAAATGTCCAGACTAACAAAATAAACTGTACTTTGAGGTATGAAAATGTGGGCCTTTATTACATTGTATGAAGATAATGAAAGAAAAAACATGCATATTTGATTAGGTGGTTTAGTGAGTAAGTATCGCCTCACTCCTTTAGTGATGAGAGTTAATACTGCCTTTACTCTGCTAGGGGGCATTTCCCAGTGTGTCAGGTCAGGTGAGGCTGGGGGGTTTACACTGGTACAGCGTGGTTTCGCACCCACCAGCGACGAAACACCTTGGGATTCCGGCTGGCGACCCCCCCAGGCTGACACTCGGCCCAGTTCCACCCTCCGGAAATGGCCGTTTCTTTGCCACAGCCAGGTTTTACGTGGGCGTTCACTTGGCCTGGGCCAGCCGCTCTGGTCCTCAGCGGTGAGGATACTGTGAGCCGGGTCACCCTCAGGGAAAGGCGCCACATGGCCGTAGTGCCATAACTGAAGCTCCCTCACAATGCAGGTAATAAGCCTCATTCGGGACTCCTGTAGTAACCGCTCGTTCAACACAAAGTCAAACCAGCAGCATGCAAAGATTCTTAAAAGAGACACGGTACCAAAGGAGTCCAGTCTTCGTCTCAGCTCACTGGATAGTGTCCATGTCTCACAGTCATACAGCAAAACAGGGAGCACCAGGACTCTATAGACTCCAAAGACATAGACCTTCGTCCTCCTACATAACGGGAGCTCCACACACCCGTTTCCAGTGACCTCATGACCCCCCATTCTCTTCCAATCCGTTTTCTGACGTCATAGGAAGAGTCACCAAAGACATTACTGTCGCTGTCGAGGTAAGTGAATCTCAACGAGGTCGACATCTCAGTTTTGATCCAGGATACTCACAAATCCAGACACTTGGACTCCTCGCTAAGTCTCTCGAGGGCCCCGATCAGAGACTCCATAGACTCGAAGATCACAGTATCATCAGCAAAGTCAACATCAGTGAATCTTTCCACACCAACAGATGCCGCACAGCTGCTGGATCCTACGACGCTGCTCAACACCCAGTCTATGCAAGCATTGAATAGAGTAGGAGCAAGACCACACCCCTGATGAACCACAGTGTTACATGGATTTTATTCTGTCTTTCTGGGTATTTTATTTGTTTACTGTGTACAATTTACAATCAGTTTGCATTATATGGACTGCCTTTGCACCTTGTCTGTTTGACACTATGTGTATGTTCATCTCTGTTCTTGCTGCTGTATGCAACAGAATTTCCCCCTGGGATCAATAAAATCAATCTTAATTTTAATCCAGGTACTCTGGATTCTCTCCACATTCAGTTAGGAAAAACGGTGCCTCTAAATAGTGAGTGATCGAGCATGCGCGTATGGTTGTGTGAACCTTTCAATGGACTGGCATCCTGTCCAGGGTACACTGCTGTGTCCTTTGCTTGCTTGGATAGGCTCCTGGGCTGCCATTGCCCTGTACTGGGTAAATGGCTAGAAGATGGATGTTTTGATTACAAAAAAGTGAAAATCATGAATCATAACATCTTACATACAAAAGGCCATCAGTGAAGCACTGATACCTGAAAGCCAGGCATCTATGTAAATGCCATTCATACACTTTCATAAAAATCTAATTCTAATGGGGATCCTTCCTTTACTGTATGCCAGTTGCACCCATTTATATCCCGACCAACATGTCATTTCCTGAATTACATCAGACATTTTCTGACTGGGTAACTACAGTTTTTAATGCTGTCTGATTGGTTAAATCTTGTGATTGGTGGTGTGATCTGTTTTCAAGACGGGATGGTGTAGCCTTGTTTTCCCACAAAAGGGAGATACAAAATTCTTTTAAAAAGTCACGAATTAAATAAACTGAAAATATTATATATGTATATATATTAATAATACACACACACATGTATGTGTGTCTGTGTATATATATAAAATATAGTTCACATTTCTAATAATAGCCACCTGGGAAAAATTTATACAAGGAAGTATTCAACTGCAATTGTTGGAGTTCCCACTTCTTATCGACTGATCTGTTGTTTGGGCAAATTATTAGTGCTAAAGTCATCTGCACGAAACTATTATTGGTGTACACCCCCTCATCCCAGTTTTGAACTCCAATCAAGTGCGTGCAACATTATACTCTCTCATTTCCAAGAGATGAGCGACTGAGAGTGACCCTACCTAACCTTAGGATACATGCACCGCTAATTTTTTGTGCAGCTGTGCTGATGCCAAAGATACATGCAGCCGGTGTTGTTTTCAACGACTTAACGGGCTTAGAGATTGGTGCTTCTCGTTTTCAGACGTAGCGCCTTCGTCAGGAGGAAGTTGGAAACTGCGAGCCTGACACTCCGGAACTGTTTGCTGAGCTGTGTTTGAAACAGATCCAGCTTTTGGAAGAAAACAACAGCAATATCCAACTAAGACACTAAACCGTTTGTCGGGGTTTACAAAGCATAGCTTCAACTTCCCCATAAATAATTTTGTTAATTAAATTGAATGTAGTAAATATGTAGAATATTTTAGTCCTGTTGTCTTCAGTTTAGCATAAATTTTTTTATTATTATTATTTATTTATCTGATTACACCTTCATGACTGTAAGCCCAGATCCTATTTGGAATTCCGTTTGGAAATCCTTCATGCGTTTTGCAATACCTAAAAATGTCAGCAGCCAACTAAGGTTAGTAGAGATCCACTGAAAATATGGAGCAGAATGCTTAAGACAAAAGACAGTTAACTATGGCTGTCTAATACTGTAAAGGCAGCCTTCTGCATGGGCGCTAAGAGCTGCAGGTTTGGCATTCTTGCTTTGCTATGTTCCTACCTTGAGGCAATGGAAAGAACAGCACATGGCTTTCTGTGGCCTGGGGGGTTGGACCAATGACAGAGAATCTCCCAGAAGATACCCAGTTTGACCCTAGAAGATATGGAACTGAGTAGGGGAATAGAAGACACTGCCTCAGGCTTGCCATCGTCCAGGTCTTCACACTAAAGGAATCTCTCCCACAAACAAGATCCCCCATGCCCCTTTGCCGCAAGGCAGGAGAGAAATGCATGTAAAAAATGCTGCAGCCTTCACTCTTTTTCCTCTTTTTCCACTGTATATGTGATCTATCAAAATGGAACTCATTGATCTTATGCCTGTAGTGATGCTGTTGATTTAGGCATGAATTTCCAGTAGAATTGTACATTCATGAAGAGTGACAATGGTGTTTCACTGGTTTGAAAACAAACACAAATTAATTATGATCACACGCCAGGACACAAGCTTGTGTAATACTTAAGGACATGGATTAATTCCAAGGTTGTTAGTTTGTGTCCCAAGAGGAGGCCATTTGTAAGTACCTCCTTGAACCGAATTACTACGGTAAAAACATCCAGCTGTACGAAATCACTACGCTAAGAAAGTTGACCAAAGGAACATAACCACTGTTCGAGAATATTTTTAAACCTCCTGTTACAGGGAGATTCAGAAACAACGTGAAGAAAATGAATGAAGAAAATGAATAAAGAAAAACTGAAATAAAATAAACATCTATAGGAATTTTAATTCCCATGCTAAATGAACACCTTTCTCTAGATTTTTTTTTTTTTTTTTATCTGTGTACGTAAGTGGAACAGCTAAAACCAAACATCCTGGTGGGGAGGCTGCCCTTATCAGACGGGAAACACTCCTTCGCAGACACATCCTCTTTACAGGAATCACGACTAAACCATTCTCCCGAAAAATGCAGGAAGAGTCTGTCAGGGACCAGGATTTGTCAACGGCCCAGAATTCTATTTAATCGTAACCAGCTAACAACCATGATTTAACGTCTGTTTTTTTTTCTGCCCAAAGATTATGACAGCCTGTGTTGGCAAGATAGGGTGGAGGCCTTAGAGAGCTTTTGGAAAATACCTTAAGATTTGGCAGAGATGGTGTATGGAAGGTGCGGGAGTGGCATAGGCTAGCGGGCAAAGCTGGATGGAAATGCAGTAAGGACTGGGGAGTGGCAAGAAATTTGGAGGGCTAAGATAGCCTCCTGCTTTTGCAGGAAGGACCAATCCCAAAGAATTCAAACTGATGTAAGTCTGGTGACTGAAGCACAAAAGATGACAGTACTGTGTAGGCGAGAACCCATAGTAATGCCGCGACTGATCGCTTCCTGCGTCCAAATAAGAATTATACAAATATTTCATCCTGTCTATACTATGACTACATGACTATACTATTACATCATGACATTTTTTTGGTAGGTCATAGTAAAGGGATACTTTAACGCCAATCTGTCATTTAACAAAAATAATCGTAATGGAATGCATACATACTATCTTCAGCTAGCTCTGCTAACTTCGTTTTTAATTATTTTATGTCACCAAATCACTCTCAGTAGATCACATTAAAGGCCATTTTACATACCAATTACTGAGCACAGTGAAAAATTTCAAGATATGCTTCATTCACTTCAATTGTTTTGCTTATTAAAATACTTTGATTTCTTCCAAAAAAATGTTTGTGACTTTCTTAATCCCTTTTCATTTGATACTTAAAATTTCCTGGATGAAATGACATGACTTTGCATCACCAGTTTATATAATAATTTATATCGTGTTACAAACTCTAACAAACTCTAACAAAAAAATACAACATAAAAAAAATCAATGCTGTTAATATTTTCTTGACAATATAAAGAACTTAAACCAAAAATGAACTGCAATAATTGTTTTCTTGTTTCAGTTCCTATAAAATGTTTTATTCATCTTTATAGCTGTTGAGGTAAAATATTTCAAAGACAGAATATGAGAATGGTGATTTAACTTATGAAATAAAAAATTAACATAAACAGTAAAAACAATTAAGTAGCACACGTTTGACAACTGTCCTGTTATATCTCTGCAAAAGATTGTTTTTATCGGAATTCGTATAAAATCAGTCTGAGTGAGGATAATACGTAAAAGCACTGGATTTAGGAAATGCTGTAGTTGTTGTAATAGGCTGCTGTGGCATCTGCTAGGACAGATATGATGCTGGTCTCTGAGATACTGCTGCTACAGGAAGGAGATGGCGTCTGAATGTGTCCTGTCACAGTCACTGCACCTTGACTGTGGGACTCCACAGATGTTAGGTACTGGTCAAACTCATCCCTGTCCACTTCAGCCAGGAGCTCCACCTGGCTGAGCTGATCCAGGGTCTCTAGGCTGTTGTGCTCTGAAGGTGGTGAAACTTGTCCCAGATGCCGGTGAAGACTGTGACTCATCGGCGGGTATGAGAAGCTGTAGTAGGAAAAAGTAAGCGGACTGGAATTTTGGGTGGAGATCAGTGTTGAACTGCTTGATATTTGTTCAGGATGTGGCCCAGTATATTGAGGAGAATTCTGGGAATAAGGTGGCATAGGGAGCGGATCCTCGGGGCAGGTGGAAGAGGTTGAGTAGAGAGAGGAAGAGTCCTCATCAAGGCTGGCCAGTTGGAAGACTTCTGGAGGAGGGGGCAGACTACAGGGGGAGGCTTTGAAGGTGCCACTGGCTGTGGATGGATCTCTGAAACTCCCAATAGCTTGTGGGATGGGATTGGGGGAGAAGGAGGCCTGCTCTTCCTTATCCAAGGCAAGATGGCGGCCGCAAGCCGCTTGGAGAGCGTTCTTATCTGGGGACAGGCCACTGAGGAGGTAGCCGGGCTCCACGCGCTTGCAGACACGCCTCAGCTGCTTCTTCCGCCGAGGACGGTACTTATAGTTGGGGTAGTCCTGCATGTGCTGCAACCGCAGTCTCTCCGCCTCCTCCACGTATGGCCTTTTCTGAAGGGGCGTGAGAGCCTTCCAAGACTTTCCTAAGGGAAAAACACACACCTGAATTTAGTCAAATTTATTCACAACATTTCAATACGTCCCTTATTCCCTAGTTATGTATCCAGTGCGGGCCATTTCTGGTCCAGAAGCTGCAAATCCAGACCAAGATTTTGTTTCTACCAAACAGTTGAGCATAAACAGTCACAGTCATGGAGTGCTCAACTGGTTGGTTGGAACAAAACCTTGGTCTGGATTTGTAGAATCTTGACAAGAAATGTCCATTATTGTATTTAACTATGTCCCTATATGCCTCTTAAATGATTGAGACTGGATCATCAGTGGCAAGAAATATCTGTCAGTACTATTCTTATATTATTTTATAAATGTTTGCATTATTGTTGAGTCATAGACAATAAACCAACTAACTCTATACTGCTGTATCCCATTTGAAACAACATAATGTCAGCAGTATATTAGTTAACCCAGTTTTGGTGAGACAATAAATATGTACATTATGTCTGTGAACTGTAAACATTAGAACAAAGAGCGCTGCAAATGCATCCATCCATCTTGGACAGGTGGGGGTGGAGACTGATCCCATCCCAGTTAATATATGGTGGGGGACCACCGTGAATGGCACACCAGTGCCCCACAAGGGCACGCGCAGACATACACACACACACACACACACACACATGCACACTATGGGCAGTTTAGAGATGCCATGTTAGCCTGTTTTAAAACTACAAGAGGTTACCCACATGAATAGGAAGAACCTGCCAGGGGGTGCAACAAATGAACAAATAAAAACAGATAGATAGATAGATAGATAGATAGATAGATAGATAGATAGATAGATAGATAGATAGATAGATGTATTTGCTATCAAAGTAATTCTGGGAATATGGTGTGAAATTTATAACAGATTAAGGAAAGGACACTTCATTGTGTTTTGCAGGAAAAAGACCATTGTTTTTCATATGTATTAATTACCACGTTCATGATAAATATTTGAATCTGATTGGTTTATTTTAAATTAAATTTAAATGAAAGTTGCATAACGTTTCCACCGTACCTGAAAATAATGAAATCATTATTGTCCATTTTCCACAGTAAAATGACAGTTTTCCTCATGTTTTTAAAATAAATACAATATATTTTTAGTTTACTTAAAATGCAAAACGTAAAATATATATCAAGAGCAGGTCTTTTAATGCAATACGTATTACACGTGATGTAAAACCCATCACCACTTTTCTTTTATGGTGATGATAAATGATTTATAACGTTGTGTCATTTTTTTCTCATTTTAGGACTTTCTATTTGAAATCTAATTGTAATACAAAGGATAAAAACCTAAAGAAGAGGTACTTACAGCGAGATTATCGACAATATAAAAAAAAAATGACATTGACAGTGTTGTTACTCTCACCTAACATTTTGCTCAGCTCCGCATTGTGAAGATCGGGGTTCTGAACAGCCAGCCTTTTTCGCTCGTCTTTAGCCCAAACCATAAACGCGTTCATGGGTCTCCTGATGCGCGGCTCCGATCTCTTGTCGGCCGGGGCTCTGCGCGCTGCCTGCCCTTCAGACGGATCCCCATCTCCCGCGGAGCGATCAAAGTTTTCGGGCCACGGCGTGTAAACGCTAACCAGGGCAGCCATGTAATCGTCCTATTAGGAAATACAACTTAAGCTATCTATCCTTTATTGATACTGTAGTTGATCGATTTGTTCCAATGTATCTATGTAACAAAGAAAGTTAGATACAATGAGTGGTTTTAGATGTAAAAAGTCATCATATTTGATTCCGAGGATCTTTGTAAGTCCATTTTCTGCCTTAGAAACTGAATTTCATTGGCATAATGAACAAATGGTCCCGTGCCCGTGCGCAGCACACTACCACTTGTTCAGTCCTTCATTGGAAATTGGAAAGCGCTTTATATTAGAGTCTCACTGAACCCCCTGAGGCGATTCAGCTCCTCCTCGTTACATTTGGCTACGCTCAATCTACTCCGAATACTCGGTGACGTTAGGAGCAAAACAAACACATGCAATCTACACCATCATTTCTTAGAAAACAGCCTAGTGTTTTCATTTTCGCATTTACCAACGCTTCCCCCATGGTACGATTTTTCCCTAAAACGATTTAAATGGAAAACTTATTCAGATATTAGCATAAGTTCTAGGACAAACTTTATGACGTAGGCGTACTTTTAATTTGCGCTTAGGGAGGTGAATATGTTACAGTACTGATAAAACTACTAGAAGTTTTACTTTTAAAAGTAAGTAGCCTGTTATAAAGTAAAAATAGTAATTATACATAATTAATTACTGAGTTAATAAATCTTATGTACTAAGAATGTATAACGATATAAATTTCAATTTACAATGCAAATAGGAAGGTGAGTGTAAAATAAAATATTACATATAATATACATTTAATACATCCAATATAATTTAATCACAGTTTTTTATTCCTCTGATTTATAACTTACCTGTCCCCTGATCTAACTCCAGGGGACTAAAGGGCTTTTTGGCTTGCTGTTGAAGTACCACCCAACAATCGTCTAGCTAATTAAGGCAACCCCAAGAATGACATCATGTTCCCATGCTCGCTTGCATTCACCCTCTTTATCTAACACACTCGCCAAATGCCCCACGCCCGCAGCACCACCGCTGAAAACTTCCTGGCGCCTCCACAGCTGATTGGGCCAAAATGCAGCACCACAAATCCACCAGCATGCAGGGTGGCCTCGGCATTCTGGGAAAACTTTCTCTTAGATCATCCATAAGGAATTCCTCGGATAGTCGGCTAAGGTGTTGCAGGAAGGACAGGAAATCCTAGCATCAGGCAGGAAAAACTGGCCCTTGCCTCATCAATGTCTTCCTTCTCCTGAGTTCTTCAGGCATCAGATAAACTTCATGAAGATTCTTCATTGTCGTTCCCATCATTCCTTTGGAAATATTAAGAGATTTGTGGTGTTTGTGTACAGGCCTGTCACTTAAAAACAAACAAATATGCACTATAGCAGTGGTGGAAAGTGCTACGGTGGCTCACACCTCCAGCGTTTTTAGGTTCAAATCCCACCCCTGCTGTATGTGTGTGGAGTTTGAGTTCTCTACCCACCCTCCAGGTGCTGCGGCTTCCTCCTGCAGTCCAAAGACATGTAGGTTGGCAAATTGTCATCTCTGAATTGCCCAAATTGTGTGTGTGTGTGTGTGTGAGAGAGAGAGTGATTCCTGCAATGCACTGGGTGTTCCCCTGAGCATCTTGGAATAAGCACCAGGCTCCCCCAAGACCCAGTATAGGATAAATGGCTGGAACACAATGCATGAGTAGTTTATTCATCTTGTATCACAAGGTAGCATAATTTTTGGAAAAAAAAGTAATATTTGAATCATAAAAGCCCTCAGAACAATACAACAGCTAAAGGTCATTTTAATTAGAAATTTGTTGAGAAGAGAATATAACAAGATTTCAAGACTCCCCCCCCGTGTCTGTCGTTTGTTTCCTGCAGCAAATGTGATGAGAAACACTGTTATTGAACAGAGTTTTATTTACAGATTAATTGTAGTTAAAGCCAAATATTCAAAGTTCAGCACAAACTACCTTTTTTCTGAAATCCCACATAATGCTACCTAATGTTATTACAGAAAAGCTAATTATGATTTACTCTTTCAAGCTGTACTGATTATGCATTTTAGTCCAAAGCATTTGGAATGCATACCAGAAATTTTGAATATCTAATATATGAACCAAAATGGTCCCATTTTTTCTTTATTGAAGGAAAAAGCCTGTAAAAATCATTCAATCTAAATATAGATCCAAGCAGTATTTTTTGTAAAACAAACACACAAAATGTCATTTCTGCGACAAGAAAAGAAAAGCCAGGCCTCCCTAATAACCTCAGGGCACCTTGAGTGTCTATTTTAAACCCCCCCCCCCCAACATCTGAAGAGTGATTGCGCCCCTCCCATAGCCTCTAAGCCTTGCACAAACACACGTACACACACACATGTAGCTCACCCTCCGCACGGCTGAATCGGAGAGATCTCTCCCTGTGAAAACGAGCCGTCTGTAACCTCTCATGAGCAGTGCTGGCCCCCGTTCACACTTACGCTCCACCCCCCCCCCCAAACCCTCCACATTCCTCCCAGCGTAGAGCTGCAGGAAGGGGATACGCTCTCAGCACCGCGTGTTACCCTCAGATAAGACTCCTTCAGAGAGGCAGACTTGTGGTTATCTTCTTCCTGTTTGGCCTGTTCTTTTTCCTGGCATGAGCTCGTGAGGTAGCCAACATGGGCCATCCCAGGGGATTAGAGCAGAGGAGGATCTTAGGTTCTATACAAGAAAAGCACAGCACAACAAGGAGCAAGAGTATCAGATACTACTCTAGACTTTCACTAAACACAATTATTGAAGGGTGTACCTGCATGAAGTCCAAGCATATTAACTTCAGTATATCGTGTAACCTAATGTATAACCAAGTCAGAACCACAAAAGGGTACGCATAGTCAAAACAAAGTTTAACAAATATATTGATAAATACAAAACAGCAATGTAACACAGATGTCAAGAAGGTTATAGCATTGACTTCCATTGTAACTTAAGTAATGCATCTTATATGTAGTAAACTGGTGAAATCCATCCAGGATATTTTTATATCTGTGCTACATGATCTTTTGTTAAAAGCACTGAATAGTAATTGGAATTCTTGCTATTCCTCAAGCCCCTTTTTCTATGAAATAGAAAAATCGCTATATGGTCCATCTGTTTTCCACACCTGCTTATCCAGGTCAGAGTCATGGTGACCTTTAATCCCAGAAAGCAGAGGGCATGAGGTAGGGGGTCACCCTGGATGGGATGCTAGTCCATGCGGGGCACAGAGTCACATGCTTGGGGCAATTTCAGAATACATCCACCAAAGCCATAAGTTATCTGACCCTGGAAGAGGACCTACAAGCTCACAGATGAGGCTGGAAATGAAAGCACAGACCTAGAGGCGTGTGGCTGCTGTGCAAGTCACTGTGTGGATTCAGCAAAGTGAAATCGCAAATAGGGTGATTAAAGGATGTCTTACTTGGCGTTTCTCACCTCACGTGGTTAAGATCCATGTATTGTTTTTCAACATGCAGTGGGCTTTCCAAAAGTTAGTAGCTCTAGAATATGGGTTCCCAAAGCTTGGTCTGTGGTTGGTTAATTTCCAAAAATAAATTATATATTTTCAGTCTGAAGAAAATGGGAACTATAAAACTTACAAATCTGCAATTGATCTGTTGGCACCCCACCACCCTCAGCTGTGAAAAATTTGACTGACGTAAATCAGTCTGAAGAAATAAAAAGGTTTGGAACCCCTAATATAGAAGACCTGATTACCATATCTGATCTGATATATCTACTAATTTGTAGATTCTGTTTCCGTTGCAGTTTTGCAAATTCTTTTCTGACTTGCCACAAAATCCACATTATGCAGATGTACAAAAAAATATTGCAAATTTGAGTCTTTCCATTAACCTATTTTTCATTTTGCATCTTCAAATTATGCATAGTGTAGGTCAATCGAAATACCTCTAGTGATAATTAGTTTCTAAGTGTATAATTTAAAGAAAGTTATATAGCAGATAATTTCTCTAAATGATATCTTCTATCCATCCAAAGCACTTATGCAGTACAAGGTCATCTTGAATTATTCTCTGCTTTAGAACTGACTTTGAATTCTAGAATCGGAGCAACTACAGAGGAAATGGAGTGTGTACGGAAACTGTCAAATCCTACAATGCTCTGAACTTGTGTCATTGTGGTGGGATTTATGCACTCTATAATTGCCCATAACCTTAGCACTATTAATGTATATGTTTATAAAAATGAGATCTGACACACTTGAAGCTCTTTATGTAGAGATTGTTCTCTAGCAAGCATTCCAAAGGTACACAAAAACAAAGCAGTTCAGAACATCATTCACCAATGCTTGCAAGATGGCTGGACTGTTTGACATGAGAAATGACATCATCGGCTATCCTGGGCTGTCCCAGGCTATCCCAGGCAGAACAGAGCTGTGACACATCCATTGCAGAGCACACACAAACGATGGGGCTTTCAGTCACACCACTGTGCCTAAATGCGTAGTTTTGAATTGCAGGGACAAACCTCTGTCACAGAGATAAAACATAAAGACTTCATAAACACAGACAGACCTAGCAGAAGGGAGACTCAAAGCCCAGGAACCTGTGGCAGTACAGTGACCCGATAAGCAACCCAGAAGTTACAGAAATGTTTGATATTATAGTCATATTGCTACATATAGGTCTAGAAAATACAAAATATACTATTTTAAATTCACTTGTGAATCATTTTCCTAATCTGTATTCTGACCAAAGTTCCCAGAACATTTTTTTCCAAAACCATCAATCAAACTTTGAATTAATTAATAATAGAATGCATTCTTTTAAAATCACTCACTCCAGCTTTCAAATTTGTTTGGATCATACAAACTTGTGATGGAAAGTGTGATATCTTCCTGTCCATCAAGCAAAAATTAAACCATTGTGATTCATTACATTTCATATTCATTTGGGCAAATAATGTATCCAAGGTGTTAAAAATGTATAACAGCAAATTCCTCCCTTGTTGAGACTGAAACCTTTCTGCTATTGTCCTTTTCCTTAGTTACTCCACCACCCACTGCACCCACCTTTTATAGTATATCACAAGGATGTATTTATACAGCAGTGGGGAAGTGAGAACACGGAAGCTGAGATCCTGTCGAGACACTCACACCCTGAACAGTAAAACTGTCTGGAGTTTCACATAGGCATTATTTAATGGCTGTATATCATGCAAGATAACTGTATCCACAATTGTGGATATACAAGATATGCTTTCCTTTATTCAGCTGACATTTATCCATCCATCTTCTAACTGCCTATCTTGGTCAAGGTTGTGGAGAGATTAAAGCCTATCCCAAAGCACATTGGGAAAAAGGCTGTGGTACAGCCTGGATGGGATGCCAGTCGATAGCAGGGCACAAAAACCCACAAATTCACACAAGCATACATCTATGGACAAGAGATTTCATGTGGCGTAAGTCAGGGTTGGCCAATCTCATCCACAAAGGTCCGGTGCGTATGCAGGTTTTTGGGGTAACCTTTAGGTCCGCTGTTCAAACCCTGGTGCGAGGACTCTTCAACCAATCAGTCCTCTAATTAGTAATCTAATTAGGGAGTTGCAGCGAAAACCCACATACACACTGGCCCTCTGTGGATAAGATTGCCCACCCCTGGTGTTTGTGCATGTCTTTGGACTGTTGAAGGAAACAAGAGTATCCAGTGGAAACCCCTCACTATTCACTATTTAGTTACTATTCTGCTCCCTATCTATCTATCTATCTATCTATCTATCTATCTATCTATCTATCTATCTATCTATCTATC